CTCTGTAAGTGCGGTCGCCAGTTTGCCTTTGCGATCGATTATCAGTTAAATCGAACTGTGTTTAGAAGAGAAAACGCATTTTTGGAAATGGGTAGTGAGCTGGAATACAGCAGATAAAAGAGAAGATAGAATAGGTTTCGTTTTCGATTGGGCGGTGAGAAAACAGTGTCACCAGGGGCTCTGGTAAGAAGGACAGCGCATCACGAGAACAACCAACTGACTGGCAATAGGAATGGCAATTGTTGCGAGTATCTGTGAGTGGAACACGAGCGTATCTATATAAGAAGTGAGTAATTTACTTGTAGAATGTAGGTCAGTGTATCGTTTGAGGCAAATATGCGTTGTTCTATCAGTGTTACGACGTACACTTGAAACGGCAAGCCGAGTAAGTAGCGGCTCTGGCTAAAACGTATTCTAGGCCTGGCTGGAATGGCAGACAACCTCAATGAGTGAATATTTTTTTGTGTGGCAAGATCGCATGCTGGAAGAAGGGAAGTCAATAATGAAACGAATGCGCAGGATGAGAACGTACTCGTGGGTCTACAATTCGATGGGTGCTTGGATGTAAACACTACGTGAAAGCATATTTTCCACAATGATTAGACTACCAGTGACGCAGTTGAGATTCTGAAGCTTCTTGCGCTAGATTAATATCGTGGCCAGCTGAACAGACCATTCAGATTTTCAGCGTAAATTAGTGCAAAGGCACGCCGTCACAATTAAGCAAATAGAAACCAGTGGTAGAACTATACTAGTAGATAACGTTGAGGGGACAACCCATGTTTGTGTGCGTAGTCGGGGGATTGGAGGACCTTGTGCGACAGTCTCATGGGTAAGGCCAAAACTTCTCCATTTAGACGGCAGTCAGTTGTTGAGAGTCGTTCCGTGCCCAAAATCGTATGTCGGACTTTTCAAGCTCGCGGGCTGAGACTGGTAATGCTGTGGATACAACAGCGACATCCGTAAGGGGACAGACCGCGCGTACGCCGCCTATGTCAAACAGTCACTTTTTGGAAGCAGGCGAAGCTTCGTCCGTACAATGTTGCGGGAATAAGTTTTCCGGCATCCTCTGGTCGATGTGGGAGAACTGACTACCAGGATCACAGACTGCGCTAAATGGTAAAGAGGGCGGCAGATTTGCCCCCGTAAAGAACCGTCGGAATATATTAAGCTCTTAGAATCTAAAAAATCGTTTGAGGGAGCTTCCATTGGGGGAACGATTGCTGGCGGTTGGCAAGCCAGAGTATGGTTTCACGGGCGGGCGTTGATGTCGCCGTATTTTAGTTAAAACTCGCGAAGTGGTTACGGTCGGAGATAAATTAAGGTGTACGTAACTCTTAGTAGGTTAGCTGTGAAAGATGTTTCACGAACGATATTTAGGAGGAAAAAATCTATTGTCTACGCAAATCAGTGGTGATCGTGTTAGGAATACGCGCAAAGCCTCGTGCATGGTACAGGTGTGGTATATCCAAAAAAATCTCAGTAATAACGCTTCTGTACTACCAGTCGATGGTATAGAATTTGCATTTGAGTGGCTGTGAAGGTAAACTACGGTTCGTAAAATATTTTTTCACTTAGAAATGATCTGGTTGAGTCGTCTCGAACTATCTACGCAAGACGCAATGCAGAGGTGCGAGCGAAGCAATCGAATTGCTTAAACGCCGGATAGCTTTGTATGTGTATGGTGCACATTTTTGCAGAGTAAAACGAACGCGGGTTAGAAATCTGGGCCAGTGAATAAGCAAAGTTCCATCTAAAATGGGAGTCGACGTCCGATCTATGTCACGCGCCGGCTAAAGCCCAATTCAAAATATGTGTTTAAGATACTTATGTAAATAGAAGGACCATCACCAGCCTGATAATATTAGGGGAAATGGCAATAATTATTTCGATAAATCTTTCGAGTGTTACGCTAAGAACTGCCGTTGCTTCAGACGGGTGACTCGAAGCACAAACCGCGTCTATACCCGATTTATAGCTAGGCTACCACGTGTGCTTGGCATGAGGTATTGGTGATCAGGTGCAGCGTGGTGATAGGTCCTGCTGCGCCATGTGAATAAGTGTCTACAAAGCACACATTGTCTAACGAGAACAACGGGACAATAGAGCCGCGGGAATGACATACATGAGTATTGAGTATAGGGATTAATCGCTCACAGAGAAGAAACAATACAAGAAAGCTGATAAAGGGTTGAGTAGGATGGAAGAGGGGCAAAGCCAAGATAGATCATTCGAGACTTGATGAGGAAAATACGCTGTGTGATCTCTTTTTTCAGACCTTCTTAAATCTTTGATTTAATTAAAGCAATGTGCATATAATCCACTCAAGTTGGGAATCCTTTCCTTTTTTTTTTAAGTAATGAAACCGCCTAACCTACCATACATTGCCGAGAAGCTCCGACCAAAACCACGCACAAAGCTAACGTGGCGGGTTCACATTAGACACGTGATCCAAGGCGAGCGTACAAATACACTGACATATATATCACTTTCCTTACGTTTTGTTTGTTACCACGAGGCCTGTACATACAGCCAGGAAATAAACCATTATGGCTATTTGTTTTTGTCCATATATACAGGGAGGGCCAAAAGCCCTTTGACCAATTGAAAAATAACTCGAAAATTTTTAATTCTACACCTGCTCCAGTAATGCGAAACATGCACATTGCTCCAATAACGAACAGATCAAACCGTGCACATGACAATGGTGCATGTTGAAAATGCAATAGACTAGCATGGAAGCGTACGTTTTTTTTAAATATGTCATGTGTTTGTTTCCGTATTACTATAGCCAAATATTTTCGTTCCTTTCTTCTCCTAACGACTACATATGTACATACTAGCGTAGTCGTACGTTTCTCGCTTCTCGTCAAAGTCTTTCTCAAAGTACAGCCATCCATATTGAACGAAACGTTGAATTTCGCGATCACCTATTTGATCGAAGGCAAAATTGCTAGCTATTCGGTACGAGAAACGTAAATACGCAATTTGTATCGCAACAAGCGCTTGTATCTACGACGTTCCAACTGAAAAATTTCAGCAGTCTGTCACGTGCCGCTCGCCGACAGCTACTTGCAATCTCCATCTATTGCCTCTCCCATACATTTTGTTGGATATTACCACCGAAGAAAGACGGTTCTCTTAAGCTCAGAGAAAAGCGAAACAGGACAGCATCGAACTAACGTCGGCAGTCTCTCGCTGCCTATTTTCTAATCATGTGAAGCCGCCTTTTGTGGCGTTTCCTCCATAGAATCTTACGTGATAAATTCTGATGTAACATTGTAGAAGTTTGCCGGTGTTCTGCATCCTCAAAGGTTAGTGTGCAGGACGCATGAAACCGTCAGCGTAGATTGAAATCTGCGAAAAACAATCGTAGATTGTAACGGCATTCTTGAACGGAGCAATACCGACATGTCGATTGAAAACTAATAAATCTTCTTAGTAAATGAAACAGAATTGGGCTGGCAGTTCGCTAATCTTTATGTCTGCAGTTATAACACTAACGTTGCAGTTAGGAAATACTTTCAATTGAATCAGATAAAGTTTCCCGCCGTAACGGCGAGGCCTCCAGCGGAAGTAATGGTACTAACTAATTTCAGCTTTTGTAGAAGACGCCCCCTTCACGACAACTCTACGTGTAAAATACGTTTCTCTATGTATCAATAGATTTGTTCGAATCGTGTACGATTGCATTGTACGATCATCTGTGTCCCTACCCTGTGTGTGTTTGTTAAGCGGAATCATCTATTTTAGTCGCCGTTTATCGTTACTTTAATCAAGACAATATTAATCATATAATCAAAAGAGAAGTATATCATTTTTTCATAAACTTCTTTTATCTTTTAAAAGCCTTACGTTCCCATTGGAAATGTGCTCTAGCATCTTCTTGGGCACTGATGTCGAATTTTGAAACACTTTCTAGAGATGAGTACTTCGGCAACCAGAAGGCCTTTTGTAAAAAAAAAAATTTGAAACGTTCGTAATAACCTTAGCGTCTTTTTTACGAATTAAATAAATCCTATTCATGTCTTTCTATCTTAAGCTCATAACAACTAAACCTTTCTAGCTATAACTCAGTGTCTTCTAGAGATTCTAGAGAAAATATCCCAAACGTAACGCCCTTCATCATATGTAAGTTCTCGTCTAACGGTAGCTCAGTGGTAAAATTGTTGCTTCAAACCCGTTTTGCGGCTATGCATGCACGAACGAAAATTGCTCGTAAAAAGTCTTCATGTCTTAATAGCTCGTTGTTGACTTGAGGCTTATTGATTGTAACTTGCGTTAAACGTTTACCGTAGAGAAAGTCTACGAAGAGAAAAAAAAAAGAAGTAAAAAATTTATTATTATGGTGATTATTTTTATTTTATATACGCTCCTGACTCTCTCTCTCAAGAAGTTGTACCTACCAAACAAAATCAATTCAAGAATTGTGTCTAAACGCAACAAATTGAAAACTTACAGCTAAAAAAACTGTGACAAGTGCTTCGTATTTATTTATTTATTTATTTATTGATTCTTTTTTTTTACTTTAGTTCCTGTTTTGAAATCTCGAATGAATCCCAACGTGTTAACCAAATATGTAAAAACTAAAATCATTGACCATATTTATAGTTAAATAGTTAATGTTCGTAGAATAAGCGGAATAAAATATCGATACTTTGCAAAAGGCCGCACCCTAATATGCTGTAATTTAATCAGAATCGTAGGACTGCCCACTTTTCATAGTACATGCAAAGTTCACAACTTTCAATTTGTGATCATACGTCAAAAACAAGTTCTTAAATGGAATTTCTAAAATAACCGTAGCATGTAGCTTGGGCCATTTTGGCTTCGTCATAAACTCAACGTATGCACTTAGCTAGTGTTCAGTCATTGCTGCGATTTTCTATCGATTCCGAGATAGCTTCGCCGTTTCGTATCAAACGATAGAACACTAGTTCGTTAGTCCTGACACATTTCGGACTTCTACCGATTGTTAATAATAAAAACAACAATTTTAGACCGGCAACCGTCGACGCTGTAGCTCAGAAAGCTCAGACATAAGTGATGTTAGCGGTGACTACTCTGCTCACTCGGACCGTTCGAGCTGCACTTATGGGGGCTACTACAAGCCTCCGCTCTCTCCGGTACGCAAATATACAATGTGAGTAAATAGACATATACAAAACCTGAATACTTTCATATATATCGTTATTATTGTTATATGGTAATTTCGTCCTACGATTAGAATGTTTTTAAGTAAGTTTAACAAATCCACAAGTGTATATGTAGACTGCTTCGTATCATATCTGCTCTTTGAGACGTAGTATCGACATGCACAAAATATCCAAAGCAATGTTTACTTTGAAAAATTAATACGCTTACATACGGTTATCTGCAAAAAAAAAAATACGGCTTACTTTGCATTACCCAGGCAACGTGGTGGGGGCTACTTGGATAACCGTACGATTCAACTGTTTTTCTCGAGTATAGTACGAAGGTACAGGCGAGATTTTACCACCTTAGCAGCCGTGTCGAAAATCGAAAAATGACTGGGCCTTATTTTTTACGAAATCGTTTTCAAAGCAATTTGATATATACTTAATGAAATTTACGTAGTTTTTCCTATCCGATATGGGAAGCCTTTCGTTCTAGCTTCGACAACCGTCCCTTAGACGCTTATTTGTTAGCTAAACTTTTTGCGAGCGGACAAAATACATAATTATCTAGAAGAGAAGATGACAACAAGGAAAAATGAACATTTATGTTATTTTAAAAGGGTTTTGTAGAACGTACACTATACACAGCAAGTACGCGCTTCGTCTATCCATTGCTGTTAGGAATTAGATAAACAGAGCACAGAAAGTTATAGTTCTATTTAAAAATGTGTTCTTTTTTTGAGGAGGAGAAATTTAGCTAGGGTAAACTTACATTAATTTCAGGACAATAATAATACAAAAATAGGGAACATAATCTATCTTATAAGTAATTAAAGCACAACTTTACAATGGCGTATCGCAGAGTTAATTTGTTGTAGACACATCCTATTGCTTAGGCTTCATCTGTACTAACAACAGAGTGTTACAATAAGCAGCTCGTGGGATGTTTGTAAAAGCTTTAGCCCGCTACGTAGACCATCCTGTTTTCCTGTTCTTCTTCGTTTTTCTAATTATTATCACTGGCTCCTATGGGATTTCCTACCCGTCCTTCCTCGCTAATTACATATTCTGTCGATTGCTTGTGGCTCATTAATACTGTTTTTTTTTTTTTCGTTTCCATGCGGAATATAAACGGTTCTTGACGTGCTTTTAAAGGGGCATACCACATTGTTTGTTCTAGCAATTTAAATCCCGTTCGTGCATCACTCGTCCATACAGGGCAATAACCCTTCTGCCAGCCCGTCTTTTTTGCCTCGTGAGAAGAAACGCCAGTGACCTTAGCTGGCGTTACCAACGTACTTCCACCGAGCTGATAAAATGGAAATTTTTTTTCCAAACAGCAGGCTGAATATTGCAACTGTCGTACAAATGGATAAGGGCCATTACTTCAAGGAATAAGCATGTTGCATACTTGTGGCAATCTTTATTTCGCAAACATTTTTATCCCTACGACTAAAAGCCTGGTCATGTCTTTAACTTCATAGTTCAATATGCAGTTCTCCTGTTAGATTGCACGAAACAAACGCTTTATCAAAACCATAAAATTATACCTTTAGAAACTTTCTACAAGTAGCTTCAATTTATTCGTTCCAGACAATGCATTCATGTACGGTCGTTTTGTACCTGCTAACGAGTAGCAGCAGGATAGAGTATGCTTTCATTAGACAAAATCTTCATGGAATCGTTGAATAAAAAAATATATAGGCGGCGCATAGAAGAGGGTACGCCACTTGAAGTACCAGAGGGTTGCTCTAACTCCAGCGGACTCAATGAAATCTAACCACTTCGCTAGAGAATATTATGTTATATCGTTGAGTAGTTGAATGAATGTTGGAACACGAAAAGCGGAGTCCGCCTTGACTAATTTCAAGCCGGCGAATCTTATTCAAAGGCTTTGAGAGGCTTTGAAAGAGGTTTGCACCCAGTAGCGGTCTCATGAGTACGCGTCTACAACTAGGAATCCTTTTCTGTCCGTTGCCGTCATCAACGCCGTTGTTGTCCGTGCTATCGGCGTACGTTACAGGCCTACCCAAATGGGCCGACTGTATGACAACGCGGTAACTGTGGCAACGGGGGGAAACACTGTGGTTACAGTATCAGGCGAAACGACCCCACTTGAAGATCATGTAAGCAGGGTGGCAGGGCCAGGACCTCATGGAGCTCCAGGAGGTCCCGTCAATGACTACTCAGCCAACCATCATACACATCTGCATCTTGACCGTAATAACAGTTACGACGCAACAGCATTACTTCGAAGGTCCATCCCCAGCGTCACTGTGGATTGCGCTACTGAAAGCTTTTCTAACCTGAACAGAGGTACGCCCGTAGATCTCAAACAAATTTATTACAGACACTTTGTTGTACCCAATAGATGACACTACGCCTGCTTGTCTTGACATGGATATCAGGGACCCCACTCTTCCTTTTACCCTTACTAAAGAAAAATTCGTGCTTGGTCGTGGGGTAAGCGAAGATCGATAATAATAAAGGATATAGTTGGTGTGGGTCTGTGTTAGTGACGTTGTTGACTTCGTTGCTAACAAAATGCCACCGTCCGAAATGACGAAAGTTCCGATTTTGACAAGTATGAGCATGTGCAACTATAGCTGGCCGTTGGTGCCTTACGTTAACCTTCTCTAACCTACAGGTTACGGCAACCACTACATGAATATGTTTTACAACGACGGTTACTCAAATATTGACACGGAGCAGCCACGACGCTGTAGTACAGGTAGCGCATTACCAAGAATGGAGATACCTGAGAATCAACTCTCGCTGCTCACGGCCTGTCATCCACACGGCGCCAAATCGCTTTCAACACATTCGCTGGATCTGCCACGGGGCAGTATTGATCAGGTAGGCTACGCGGACGAACAATTCAACCGGCTCTTTATATGTAATGACAATGAGCAGGGTTTAAGCGACGCCATTGATGACAGCCTTGCTTTTCAGGAGAATGCCTAGTTAATAAGATTTCCTCAGCGAGTTACTTGGCATATATATGGTCGCGACTATACGACGCAATGAGTGCTAGACAGCTTAAGGCTTGAGTAACGGGAGGCTGTTTTCGAAACTGAAAACGGGAGGGTAGATAAAACGTGCCCATTGTGTGTGTTTGTTAAAGTTGATGAGATCAATCGATGATACTAGTATGAAGCTTAGTATAATAATATGTAAGTTAAAAGGGATATTATGAGGGCCGCTAAAGTGACCTAGGAGTAAGTCCTGTAGGATACAATTTTTACGTGTCGATTACTGGCCCACTGTTGATAGGTGAATAAACCAATCCGTGCGAGGCCGACTATAACGCTAACGCAACGACCGTGACTGAGTATTATAATGAGTTAACTAACTAGCAGACTCATATATGACATTTATGGATAGAGGACGTACTACACAAGAGCCGTAATTTGACATTGTACAATTATAATCTGTTATTGTTACTGTTTTCTACAACTCTGTCATGCATTTACATCATCTCACATATTATTCTATATGTAGATCTACCGTCCCTCATCCTTGATTTGCATCGACCAGCTGCGGGAATACATATCCTGTTCAATGTCTGCGCGGTCGAGCTCAATGCTGTGCAGATGCATTAAATGCTACATATAAACATGTATATAAACTGCTATACGAGTGACCGATAATTTACTTTGTTATTACAAGAGCTGCTGCTGTTTTAACTATTAGCGTTTTATCATCTGTGTGTGTGTGTGTGTGTGTGTGTGTGTGTGTGTGTGTGTGTGTGTGTGTGTGTGTGTGTGTGTGTGTGTGTGTGTGTGTGTGTGTGTGTGTGTGTGTGTGTGTGTGTGTGTGTGTGTGTGTGTGTGTGTGTGTGTGTGTGTGTGTGTGTGTGTGTGTGTGTGTGTGTGTGTGTGTGTGTGTGTGTGTGTGTGTGTGTGTGTGTGTGTGTGTGTGTGTGTGTGTGTGTGTGTGTGTGTGTGTGTGTGTGTGTGTGTGTGTGTGTGTGTGTGTGTGTGTGTGTGTGTGTGTGTGTGTGTGTGTGTGTGTGTGTGTGTGTGTGTGTGTGTGTGTGTGTGTGTGTGTGTGTGTGTGTGTGTGTGTGTGTGTGTGTGTGTGTGTGTGTGTGTGTGTGTGTGTGTGGTGTGTGTGTGTGTGTGTGTGTGTGTGTGTGTGTGTGTGTGTGTGTGTGTGTGTGTGCGTGTGTGTTTTATGTCGAGAGCCGTCGTGTGATCGCTGAGAATCCACCTTATTCCATAGCCCCTCGTTTTCTTCTTTTTCATTCTCTCGCTTCTCTCTATCGCGTTGTCCCACTGTCTGTTTGTCTGTTTATCCCTCTCTAATGTTTACTTATCGCGTGTTACTTATTGCGTCCTCTGTTGCTGCCTCTGTGTCTTCCCCTTCTACTAGTATGTCGTTGTTTACTGTCTTCGTACTCATATCACGCCCCGCCCACCGTTCATCGCTCCCTTTTGTGCCACTGGATATTCTTCTTCTGCTGTACAAATTTTCCGTATCTAAATATCTCTGACATACATACACTTGATGAAAAACTACATATACGTTCACTATGTGTATCGTTGAATTGGCTCGGCCTGTTCTGCCGAGTTCTGGATGGATAACGGATCGGCGCTGCTGTTGACGTGCGCGTCGTTTACAGCCACGGATACACGTGATGCTCACTATGACAATTATGACGACTGTTTATGATGACGACGATGGCAATAAGTTGAGACGAGGATCGTGATGAAAAGCAATATGTAACCTATGATCTGAAATGTGTCTGTGCAGAGTTATTGGCTGGCTAACTGAGGGTCGTACTATCAACTAGCTGATGACTGACAGATGTTTGGAATTAAGTGATGTTGTTGAAAAACATCAGAAACGAGAATAGAGAAGAAAATAAACAAACTAAGTAGCAGAACGGGGTAAAATGCAAGCGGTAAGCCTCTGTATTCACCTACGCATGCTGTGTGTCGCGATTAATTTCTAAATGTGCTTGGCGCTTCACTTTCAGCGTATGCCGTCTGAATGCGATCTCTCTGGTTTTAAGGTAAAGAATGTTTGGTTGTTATTATACCGTGATTCATTGTTGTTAGCGAGCCCCAATTATCCTACATTTTACAAACGCCTATCATGCTACACTCCTGCAAATTGTCCACCTCGTACCGACAGAAAAACACATAAACAGCTTTTACAGGTTCCATCCTTAACTGTGTTAGTTTGACATTGTGTTTATTATAAAATTATACATTTATAGGTTTAACGATTTTACGCAAACGGTAAGTGTTCACTTCGTCCTCGCAGAAAATGGATACAATGTATTAGCAAAGAATATCCACTTTATACAAAATGCTTACTTTTTCTGAAGCAGTACTTAGTTTACGATTATCAAGTTCTTAGAGATCACTTATTTGCCTGGAGAGGCTATAATATGCCACCTATAAATGTTCGCAAATGTCAATTACGGAAATTTACTCACTTAAAAAATACTGCTTACACTTAGTTAGAGGTGAGTCCTTCTGTAACCTGTCAAAGTCTGAACCATGTTTTATAAGTTTGCAACTCGAGTTGGGTACAGTATAAAAGTCATAAAAGCCTAGAAGAAACTATGCAAAAATGTAGGTTGACTGCTGATAATGGCAAAACTCATTAGCAACCATATTTTATCTGTTGCATAGAAGGTTTGATATATAAAAGCACTTATCAGTTATATACATATAATCGTTTGATCAGCTTTCACACGATGTAGTAATATATAGCACTGAACACGTTCAGTGGCGATCCCAGCTGTCATTTGTGCTATTCTATTTCGGTGTTTACTTAACTTGAACTTCAAATACGTTGATCACTAAGTCTGAATCGACGAGCGAACGGAACCGCTTGTACGTAAACATTTACGAAAGTGCGCGTTCACGTAAATGTTCCCTTGTTTCCCGTTCTTGAAAAAACGCAAACATGGCTATCGTTTCATTTTTATCCCCGCCGCCCATCCAGTCGCCGCTGTCTATATCGTATTGTACTCGTATTCATCTAGCAGATTTATTTGCCCCTTTGGTCCGTACGTAATACTATTTTTTGGCGATCAGTAAATTTTAAAATACATATGCATACGCTGTACAGATCTCCTGTTGCTATATTGCCCGTATCAGGTCCGATATATATATACATACGTATATATATATATATATTTCCATCAGCATCATTGTCCTCCTTAGTTAACTAGTATCCTCTTGCTCTTGGAGTCTTTACGATGCGTTACATGAGTTCATGTTACTTCTATGTTTCCATATCGCTGTCTATTTTTACCGCGCCGCTGCTATGGTAAAACGCAATGAACCACACTTACATTCAAATAACTACCGAATCTTCGTCGCCCGCTAATCCACATTGATAACATCCAGACGTAACAGTAACCATTTCAAGCCCACCCGCCTGATATCTGCCAATAGTCCTTGGTTTATCCCCACCTGCCCCAGATCTTGATTTCTTTGCTCGCCAACGTCAAACTTGTCCTTTTGCACAGTTCTAATAGCTAACTTTACCGAACCCTATATTACCAACCCTTGAAGTCCGGCTCCTTCTATCTTGATATTTTAATGAAAAGAAAAAAAAAGAACTAGAGCAGAGTCAAATGCCACTTTTAGGGCAAACCCACGGAACGGCGCGCTTCAGCCCCCGAAGGCGAAAACATCCGCATCGTGATAAACGACGTAGATGGAAGCCTCCGGGGCGGGTCAGGCGACAGTACTGAAGGGGAGCCACGACAGCGGAGGGTTATTCTGCAACGCGACAAGAACGACGCGTCGTGTCGCACTCGAGGCTTCGGCATGCGCCTCATGGGTGGCAAGCGGGGCCCTGATGGACACCTCTACGCTATTGTGTCGTGGGTTTTACTCGGATCCTCAGCTGACATCGCAGGACTTCAAAAAGGTTAATCTAAGACGCGATTTTGCGAAGTAGGTAACAGATGTGTACATTTGAGTATATATCGCATTTCAAAGTGTAGTTATGCTGTGCCTTACAAGGGCAGTCATAAAAACGAAGTGCAATTTAGCTGTAGGTCTGGCACGCAGCACTATCTGGCACGACAGACGCATCTATCATTCTTTTTCAGCGTAAAGTCATTTTTTTGCTTATCCAATGAGTAAAAGAACCTGATGACGCCTGTGGTGCCATTAGTTGCGGTGTAGACTTCTTAGAAAACACTAATTAATATCAGACTATAATTAAATTAAATCAGATGATAGTAAAGCGGAAGTTTGACCTCCTAAACTCAACAACCAGGACAACTCGCTATATGGCGCATAATGCAGATGCGGTATGACCAGATACATTTGCACTATTTAAACATTATTTTGTATTAAATAAGATGACCTGACTTCAAGGAACAGCCCTTTGCGCGCGTGTACTAAAGCAGCATGTGTTAAGGTGTTTCGAGTATTAGGCACTGCAGTTGAGCATTGCACAAGATGACTTGCTCTGAAAACAGCGGGAAACGACGAGCTTTTAGCGTCTTGTGGCAACTGAAATATTAAGCTGAGCCGTTTCGTTGCTGCTCTGAACTTGCCGAATTTGCGTAGGTTTTTTCATAGCAAAAACTCATAATATGAACGATTCTCGACGCAAACATGGGATCTAATTGGTGCAATTTTTGTAGATGGCAGCTATACAGTTGTATAGCTGTTGTATAGAAACAGTGAGTAAACAAAAGTTATGATAAAGTAGTAGTGGTTGAAAGCGGAAACGGCTTCAAAGATCTCGTTTAGGCAACGATTTTTTTCTGTGCGTAAAAAACACCTACAACTGTCGCTTTGTCGGATCGACTTCATGTTCGTGTGCATTGTTCCTACAGGTTCCATCGTTCTGGAATGGAACGGCCAAAGTCTGGTAGATAAGCCGTTTGAAGAAGTATCGGAGATTCTCGATCATAGCCCAGACGTAGTGGAAATCCTGATCGAAACAGGACGACGAATGTCGCCCCTTTCGCCAAACGCTTCAAATCCCAACATACTTAAGACAGGCGACTTGGAGGACAATGAAATAGGTACGTGATCACGATGTAAGCAATTAGAGAAACTGACTGACCCTAAAGCTGAAAGTTAGTTTCTGATAAACACGTTTTCGTTTGTTCGTGTGTCAAACGACATCGCGAGTTTCAACAGTTTTCATTTCGGAGGACTCTGTGCTTGCTTTGACAAATCACTATTTTATATTTGATTAAAATACATAATTAGCAAATGAGAAAGTTCACAGGATATACACATTATGTCACTGTCAAAAACCGTTCCCTAATTTCTTTTCGGCATTTTCTTCGGTCGACCCCCGGGTGGCTCCCTATTAGTATTTCATTTGTGAGAATATTACGAGAACATGTCATTACTTCTAGGCATTATTAGATACGTAGCTTGAATTCGAAGCATCCAATGATGCTGCAGTATTTTCTGTCTTCAATCATCCAATCAAGCATTTAACATGCATTTGGCTTCGCTACCAATAAGTATTGTAGAATCTGCTTAGCCTCAAGCTATGGGATCGGCCATGATGATTTCGAAGGATTAACGGGAAGCGATGTCAAATTTCGACGATGAATAAACTATATGTTTTTAGCTTTGCACAAGAAAGAAGAGGAACCACTTTCTTAGTGGTCAACTACTTCATGGATTTGCGATATGTGACGGTATCAGGAAAACTCAGGACACATTGCGTTCAAAATTGGTTACAGGTGCTATCTATCATTAATTATAGTTGTTGTATGTTATTGCGAAGTAACTATGTTAATAACAGCAACTGGCTTTGATCCTTTATGGTGCCAGATGGCCAGCTGGACCAACCCCGCGCTCCACCGATAAGAAGAAACAGCGGAAGGATGCTGCCCAGGCTACCCGTAAGTTTCGCCCTGACAAGATAGAAAACCACTGTAACTAAGTAGTCATTAAGTTAGGATTGAAGTGTCGCATTCACTACATGCTACTGAATACGATGAATGACAAGGCCTTTCAGTGATTGTAACTAAAACTAATGCATTTCTCCGTGAAATGATTTGAAAAATACGAGAAGGTCACGACATGATAGTGACTCTCCCAAAGGAAAATAGGTCCCATCATGATCTCTTTAAACCAAATTTGTCATAGTTTACATAAAAACTGATCAGAAGACACAAATTCAATTATGAGGTTATAGTGCGTGCCCGTCGAGCGACCTTACTGATGTCGAGTCCTTCTGTTACAAGCGATGTACACACACTTGTGCACGATCTAACTAATTTCGATACATAGATACACCAGAAACTAAGATAGAAACAGGAGAAACTTCAGAAGCTAAGGACAACGACGAATGGGACCTTCTCGAAGCTGTCTCTAGGATTTGTCTATTAAAAGAGAGAAGTGCCTTGTTCAGCCAGGCAGTGTCCTACGAACGCCGGCTCCCTCGTGTTGGTTTTGTAACAAGCCACAGGTTCTGCTTATCTACGGTCCCTGATCGATAGCTTGAAACATGCAAATTCAATTTCGAATCCACTTTATCGCTTCCTCGGTTAATACTGCAGGAGAGCCCATTGGCATAAGGGCCTCTTCGTGCTCCAAGGAACCAGGGGAAGGCTTCACTCCGCAGGCAAAACCATGAAAGACCTAGACCGCAGTGTTGTTCTTGCACACACACTCTGTGCAGGTTAGCGCGCGTCATGTGCAGGGTATTATATGTGTACAAAAAATAACCCGTAGTTCTATCAGATATATATACATATATACGTAAACGAGGCGATAAGTATAAACGTGGCATACTGGTGGACATACATGCTCGAGAGTGGACATCAGCGAAGACGCCATTTAATTTTACTAGCTCTGACCCTGCCAAGTACCGCGACCGCGCACGCAGATCAATTTCTTACCGACTGTAGACATTTGTGGTATCGGTGTTTCGCTACGAGAAGTCCTGATACGGATTTATTTTACACGAATAAATCGAATACAAAAACGACCTATATCTTTACTGGTTAATAATTTGCGATTTTCCAATATTAAGGATAAAAAAGGTTCGTAAAACTAGTATGCATATATATCGTAATTATTTTTTTGAGCCAAAAGCTTATCATGTGAGTGATATAACTTTGTATCTCACTGCATTCATCATACCTACAGACAAAGCACATGTGTATGGACAAATGAATTTTGATTAAGTCGAAATTGATAGCTGACATTGTTAACGCATGGGTCGTTTCTAATGGGTTAGGGCGAACTTGGAGGCAGTGCCAGTGGATCAGGCGTCACCGGGGGCAGTATGGGCACCATGGATGAAGGGGAGATGTGTGTACAGCTCTTCTACGACGAAGAACGGTCGGATCTGGTTGTTCGGGTTTTGTCGGTAAGAGGGCTAGCGCCTCGAAAACAACCCGGCCGTCAGGATACCGTCACAGCACTACACCGCGCATACGTTAAGCTGAGGCTTAGCCCCGATGGGTAAGTTCTGACTATAGACGACACGTGCGACCTAGCAACTCGATATGAAGGGAATTAGCTTTTGAGTTTTGTAGGGCTCAGCTGTCTATGAGTGTATAAAGAAATACTAAACTCGCCGTACACCTGCACTCAAATTACATATCCGATGAAAGCTTAATGAAGCAAACAGAGATGTGCACAATAGCGCGAGCCTATATAAACAAGCCGATATTTGTAGAGTAAGTCGACGCAGTGGCTGGGGGGGGGGGGGGGTCTGACCTCTGGTTGGAAGAAACCAAGAAACGGATAGCCGCTTCAAGTTTCAACAACGACACACACATAGATATTACACAACAATTTATGTAAATTAAGTTATTTTTAGAGGTGACAATGTTCTCCGTGGAACAATGGACCTGAAAACGATCTCTCGAGTGTTACTCTTTACATACTTTGCACCATCTCATTGTTCCTGCTATAAAGCCTTCGTAATTCGCCAATAGCGTCCCTAAAATAACTGTTATAATAGTAATAATAATAATAAAATAGTAATAAAAAGTTAGAAATTATTAATTATCATACAGCGATCGCTCTATAAAAATCACTGAACATTTATAAAGCACCTTATTTTATAGGATGTTGTTGAGTTTTTCTATCGTACGTAATTCGCGACTTTGAAACTAAATTTCAACTCTGTCTTAAAAACAAAATAAACTAAAATAAGTATCTTTCTTGCTTTTTAAAGTAATTCGAGTATTCTTTCCTCACACTCAAAGAAATAGAATTGATTTAAACATTAGTATCAATAGTAATAAAAAGAAATACAAATATTAACAAAAAAAACAAGAGCGTTTCTAACACGAGACCTACTGTTTCACCGTTTGTAAAAAAAATTCACCTGTCTAAAAGCGTTTCTCTGTTTATTTATATAACAATGACTTTTTTCGACGATAGGTAATTTGGGTAAGAAATGGGTATAAAGGAAATGTTGGAAAGGTGATCGTTAATCAACACCAGTTTCAGATCGGTGAGGTGACTTCACGATGTTGAAAGCTAAGGCTATTAAAAAACTTAAATTTATAATAAAAATATAGTGAAGCCAGTTGCCATTGGTGCCTCTAAGGTCAATGATCCGTATCACAGTATGTGACATTGATGCAAACAGTCATTCGTAGATGCGTGTAGAAACACGTTATTTTAGCTAGCGAAGCGGTATCATTCATTCTATTCTGAATGCCCATTCCGCCCCCCGTTTAAGTATTGTATATGATTGTTAACTGTTTAATTGTAGCAGTTGATACATATTTAGCTAATAGTTTAATTAAAGCTTGTCGTATAATTTTAAAATTTACGAAATACTTTACTATTAATGTATTATTTTTGTAATTTTTCAAAATTAATTTTTTTCAGAGGTTTGCCGTAGTATATAGGCCACCGACTGCTTAAAGGACGCCAAAAGTATCTGACGCACAAAGTTAATGAAGGTATTCTCCCTATTGGCTGACCGTTTGCTCGCCAAGAACTCGCTTGCATTGCAAGCCTATCGTGAAGCTAGATATCCATAATCAGGGACGGTGAATGTTTTACCATATTCCGATGCACAAGGGCATAGTGGTTCTTTTTTCAGGCCTAAATCTGATATCTAAAAAAACTGAAAACACTTAATATCTTTTCTCTAGAGCTCTCCCTGTTGTCGCTGCTTAGCGTGATGAATGCGTTGCCTAAAGACGAGCGTTGACGATGCGGTGGCAAACAGAGTCCGAAGGTCTAGCGGTCACCCTAGAATTGTCGACTAAATGACCACAATCCGAACGTCCGTGAAACCAGTAGCGAGCACAGGAAATTTGTATTTTGCTTAAAGGAGAAAGCAGAAATTGATTCCTCGATGAATGAATCTAGCCCAAAATCTGAGCGAGCAGCAATTGTACCTATCGTTTTCTAATTGAGAATTCAAATAAACACCTATCTGTTTAATGTCGAATAAAACGCATTCATAGGGGGCTTCAAAGTTCAATTACAAACCTTGTATGGCTATGAAATTTCAAGTAAAACTGATATGTTCTCTGACAAAGGTCATTGTTTTTTTTCGGTCGAGTGGAAGATTAGCAGCGTTTCCGTTGAACTTCAGCAGTTCCTCAAGCGCCCTGTGTATCAATCAACCGACTGAGCAAATCGAATGACATTTTCGTTTAACGTCGTAACATCGATGACCAAGAAGGACATAAATGGTAACTTTAATTTGCAGGACTCAGCGAACTATTTGTACATGTGGAAATGGCATACGGCTTGAGTTACTGAGAGATTTCTCGTACTCAACCAAGGGAGCGTCAATGAACGTTTCTTTCATGCTCGAAATCGCAGTTAGCCATGAAGATAATTCAGGTCCAACATTGCTAGGAAGGTTATAACAGGTGTCTTTGCAGGTTATTCAATACGCCGGAACCCCAAGAGCGTATACTCGTCCGAAGGGGATACGGATATTGGCTTTTGCCGACCCGGCCCACTTAACTTCAACATCAAAGACGAATGACTGCAATAGTTACACAATTGTGCTTAATTACTTGACCATTGCTCGTTAGAAGTCCTACGGTGTCCTAGGATGTAGGGCTCGCTGTCCTTCACGGAAATATCTGCTACTGCATTGAATGAGACCATTTTATGGTAAATGTGTACTTCTGCGGGCAAAGAAAACTATACTAATACGCTGGATCAACATAATTTTTGTTGAATTTTTAGTTATTATCATTTTTCTGCAGATTCAGTGAGAAGGGTGTGGTTCCCTAAAATCATCTGAATATTTTACTCATTTCAAAATCTGCGTTAATCGAAAGCGATCGCCAGTTTCCGTGACATACATTGTTAATGGACTAATTATATCTCTAGCTGGTCTTCGCTTATTACATCCTGGCAAAAACTTAACACCTGCAACATTCATGCATGATATTATGGGTGTCCTTAAAAACTCTTTACAATGAATTACATTTATGGCAAAAAAAAATAATAAATAGGTAGCAAATTAAAGGCGACTGGGGCAGGGCAACAACTCGCCTGTTCAATCGTCATGAATTTGCTTCATTAGATTACCTAGATCAACCTGTCAACAAATTGGCCCTATATATTTTTCCTTTTTTTAGGTTAGTGTTTAAATCGCGTTCAGGAAGACCCGCATTCAACGCTTGAAATTAAAAGAAAAAAAGTAGCCGCATAGTATATATATCATTATTCTCAATAATTTCGACAAAAATACATATCTTGATAACAGTGATAACGGTGTGAATTTATCTTTTGCTTCGTGAGTTCGCAGTTGTGCAGGGTTGAAACAATGCCCTACTGGGTTATAGTCTGGCGAATATGTCCTGCTTCTTCACATATATTGGTTTCTACGTCTAGCAGTCGAGCTGATGACTGAAAAAATCGATACATAACACCCAGTTTTGTTGGATTGAAGTTTATTCGAGAAAAATCTTTTTATACAAATACAGCGCTCAAGCTAAAATTCACCGCGACATTTATTCACAGCGAATCGCTTCTTGCGGAGTGAGGAAATATTAAGGACGATGTCATTTTAATAGGTGTCGCTAAATGGAAAAAAAAACTATATAGTTCGCAATACAGCTCTTTATGGCATTACTTGAGAGCTTCGATTACAACTTTTTCAAGGCAGTCATAAGCTTCGTCGTTCTTCTAATCAAAACGGACCTCTCAATGTGCTCTCACCGAAAACACGTGGAAATTCTAAGCTTAATTGACAAGCCACTTCCCAATGTATCTAACTTATACGCTGTAGTAACTAAAATTATTTGTATTATTGGTGTCGGACAATTTCAGGGGGTTCACTGCGATGAAAACCCCGGTAAGCGAACCAGCTGTTAACCCAGAATGGAACAAATCATTCGTGTTTCCGTCTCTTGAACCTTCCGAACTGCAAGAGGCATCTCTCAAGCTGTCGGTATGGGAACATCAGTCGACGCTGGGAAGTCAACCTGGGGGACAGTTCCTCGGCGACGTGACCATCCCACTTCGAATGGTCGTTCAAGACCCAGCCGCTGTTTCTGGCTCGCACTGGTACCGCCTTCGGTGCGAACGGGAATCGCTACTGCCACCGCCGATATAGCATTTAAACACTTGATGGTAAATGTATTCGGTTGAGGGGGTTACTAGCACCGGATCACCTTCATTGCTGGATTTCTGACGAACGTAACTTTCATGGGACGACGTCTACCACTTAGGACAGGGTGTTCTCTTGTCTAGTTGTTCACATCTGGGCCACATCAAAATGGTAAAAACAGCCGCCTCGATTCTGTCGACCTTTGGAGCATCTCTCTATGTTCGTTGTGCACGCCTCAAGGACACGACTAGCTACCCCTCATCTCTTTTGTGTATACTTTGAATAAAAGTGCTCTCATCAATGAAACACGGTCAATGAGGCCCAAAATTCGACACAGCCGATTCTCTACAGCTGTTAATCAATCATTTGTTCTAGCAGATTGTGCCTCTAAGCGATCAAACCTTGGATCGGTTGTCGACAATGATGGCGACACTAGAAACGAGGAAAATGGACGATGATGCCTTGAAAAGATACGAGGAGATGTTCTGCGTTTATGTAGAATGACCTAGAGAAAGCTACACGCGTGAGTACCGACAATGAAGTCCAAACAATCGAGCCACAGACCCCGCAGGTATTCCAAAGCGTACGTTTACCATTGGTGCCGCCGATAAGCACAATTCTGTCGAGAGAACAAATGGTTATACGCCGTGTTGGCTAGCTCAATCGAGTCATGAAGTCCGTGTGAGACGAAATGACACGTGTCATGCGTGAAACCGGCCGCATCCCATAGTGGCTGGGCGGTCAGCTATGGCCGCACTCTCTAGACGTAGTGACTGCTTATCTTTCTAATCAACTATAGCCATTAGTGTTATTAAAATGAAAATAATAATCCTCTAGGTTGCCACTATCGCTGCTCAAATAAAGAGAGTTCGATTAGCGTTCGCCAAGCACTTTCTATGCGAAACTGTAGGGTATATCCAAACCTTCTACTACATAGACAACAAGCGAAGGAAAGCTAAACGATAAGAAAGGACTGTTATTATAGAATGATGATATGCGAAACGGAAGACCGAAATAGAAATACCTAGAAGGCCAAAGCAGCGAATTGTCAATGCAATCTGGAAGCTCCCAACAAGTATCTTGAATAACGTACGTCCATGCACCGATCTACATGTTAGCGAAGCCAGAAACAAAGAATATGAAAGTGGAAAATATACGAAACAATCGATGTAGTCAACAAAAGCACACAACGTTAAGCAGAAGCAATTCCTACGCCGACCAACGCAAGCACGTTCACCGCTACGTAACGTCACTGCAACCGTAATATCGAGTCACAACGCAACGCGTCGCGATAAACTGCGTACTGCGAGAATTCTCTGTATTTTCTGTCTCTAATTGCACCCCACAAACAAGAATGACGCTAATTCTAAAGTACACTAACACTTATCTTACTCTTAACAGAACTGCCACTACAACTGGAATACCTTTGCAATCCACATCAATCCGCCTCAGCGCCAGAGGTAGAAAAAAAAAAAGATTTTCGGTCTTCCTTTTTACCGAACTACCGTACTGCCCAAAACGCTATGGCACCACAGCCGGGCCGCAACATTCAAATACATAATCGTGACTTGCACTAGACATAACCTTGCCTTGCCCAACGGGACTGGTCATATTTTCACAAAAATTGAACAAGCGACATATAAACACAAACAACGTAGCGGAACAAAGTGAGCTAAGCAGTACAATGTTAGCTTCTCCTCACACTCAACGCTAAATGGTGGACTAGCGGTACGTACCCGGTTGCCGCAAACGTATCATCCCGCGCACTTCAGTCTGACAGAGATAACCTCCAGAACTCGGCAAGGCCATCGGGTCATTACGGGACGCGAGTGCTTGTTTCAAGCCCTGCATGGTTCAATAACGGGGCAATGTAGAGCTGACTGGCAAAGCAGCCTGCTTGCAAGACACTGCGTTCGTTGAGGTGTACTGGTTCAACTTCCGCTACCAGAATAGCTTCAGCGATTCCAGCTGCTAACTGTATGAAAACACCACGCACGACGAGAGAGTCATTTCCTGATGACTTCGCTTGTCGAGAGCTCTGTGGCATAGGAACCAAATCTGCGTTTTAAGAGTATCCACAGTGCTCCGTGTGGCGCTGTTGTAGTCACAGCTCGAAAAAAGCACGCACTTTTACGAAGCTTCTGCTGAGCGAAAATGTATCATAGAGACAGTGGAAGGAAAATAAATCATGAGAACGATTTTGCAGAAATGACGAAAAATGGAAAAAGAAATCTTTCAATTAAACTTCACAATTTAATTGTTATCACAATAATAATCATAATATAATAATGATAATAATTAACGCTAACAGATAACGCAAGTATAGTATGCTATAGACTAGGTATGTATAATTAATAATGTTACCTTAATCAGCAACAACACAAATCGCTGATACCCGGATGCACGACAGCTGCGCCATCGTTTTCTAAAACTGAGCATTCAATTCCTCTAAGGCTACTCAAACTCCCATTAGTTCTCACGCCATTCATTAATACAGAGAGATGCTACCACATTGACTTTCAAAAAAAAAAAAGACGAAAAGCACCATATTTGAACTACGGCAGACATTCGAATATATCATCGTATGTTATTGGAGCTCGAACACACACCCGCCATGACAAATGTTACGAAGTAACACCAAAAATCATAAGAGTCACGTACGTTACATGTCATAAAATTGCTTGAACTGTTCCATTACTGTCTCCTACGGAATCAAACGGCTAATTAGCCATACCTCACTCTAACCCTCCTCAATCTATAGCTTGATCTAGGCACCTGTTGGCGTCCATCCGTACACTTGGCCTTGCCATGGAAAATCTAAACATCAACCGTCAAGAAATTCTATTCCGTTAACCTACCATTAACTAATTCTGATGCGCTAAGTTGAATCTTTTGACGAATTATGCCAATTTTAGATTATTCCACCTCTATTAGGTGCCTCCAGCTGTATTCAGATATCAATGAAGCCTACGAATTGTACAAAACGGATCAATCTCACTCGACCTTCTACCTTACTACTTTGATTGACCGAGAGGAGGTCACAATATGGTTAGATACGTTCAGTAATTATCTCCTCATTCTAGTCGGGCATCAACGAATGATAGGCTATTGCCTAACCATGCATTACTCTACCCATTGTCGTAGAAACAGCCGTTCCTCATAGCATTAAACACGACGGTTAAGCAGCAGTTTCAGTATCTATCGGAAAAACAAAAGGCACGTTACCGTTTAATCAGCAGAATAGGCCAAAACTCTTCATATATTGTTTTAATAACATCGGCACTACGTCAGCTTGATTCCTAATAGTACAGTCTATAGATACGGGCTTATTCGTCAACATATTGAATCGAAGGGGAAGACAGAGTAGTCAACGATCAGGGAACCCGATCACTCACACACGTTCAAGGAGGGATCGCTTGAATCCAATCAGGTTGACCTGTCACAGAGAACCAGTTGATTAATCGACCGTCGATTCTGATCATTACGGCATTGACATCGTGCTTGATACCTTATTTTTCTACTCCAATATGCTGTATAATAGTATAGCAAGACATGTGAAGACGTAAAAGCAGACGAATAGATAAACTAAGAAATAAACAAACACGACTCCCTCTAACCAACGTGTCTCGATTTTTCTACGCGTGCGTTTCCGAGCAACTCACTCATGAATGATTAATATTTCTATTATAACTGCTACTGCTATTATCGACATGAACTACCATTGCTGTAAACAGATGTAAACATGATGTATTGGCACCTGAAGATTATACAAACTTAACAACAGGTAATAATTATATTAAAATACATGTTATAAATAGCACTACTCGTAACAACGGCAACAATGTTGTTGGTTAGGGACAACAAAACAGTAAATAATAATAATACCGATAATAAATAGTCATGATATCAATTGTTGTAGTTAATAACTGTTACATAAAATAGGCCCGCGCACAGAAACGTATACAGGGGAAGGCGGCATATATATACACTCGTAAATATCATCAAATGTGGTGAAGCCCTGTGTAAGAAAGCATAGAACCACGGCACCAGAGTACGCGTTCGATAGCCGAGCATAGCGACTGTGAACGATTTGAGACCACCTGGATTAAGCGGCTGGCTCTCGCATACGTCCACGTGACGCCGTCAGCTTGAAGCCAGTTGTGGATCGATACACACGCTTATAACAACGAGCAATAGGCGAGCGCAAAACGCTCGACAGACGCACACAATATTTGCTTGAACTATAGCCAGCAAGCTCCACGATATATTCAAAATTTACCAATACGCATGTTATAAGGAGCGAGCAATGTATCCATTTCGATAGACCTCGCTCCGATTTCGATAGACCTGGCAACCAACCCTCGACTAATATCGTCAGTACACGTATACTACATCAATAGATAAACAGGTAACTTCAGGGACATGCAAACAACTTAGTTAACATTCAGCCTATGAGCAGATTATACAAGTTACAATATATGAAACCTTCCAGTTAGCCTAAGGAAAAAATGAGGCATTTAGAAGCTTAGTATAATTAATATAATAAACTATAGAGGTGAACGGATGGAAGCAGGTGGTGTAGTGGAGTGGCAAGCATGGCCGAATGAATACAGTAGAAGAAGCCCTTTGGTGCGTAAGGCCGATGTTTTCCACATGCTTGAAGCATACACACGACATCAACTTGGGGTGAGAAACAAGCGTGCGACTAGATCAACTGGCTGCAGACGAGGACGTTGAAAACGCATTTGATCATTGCCCCTTGATCAATGATTAGTCCGGCTTCGATAGACATACGTTGACTCGCGTCGGTTATCGTCAGAGAGTAAAAGCTTTTTTTTTTTCTTAGAAACGACTGATAACCGGGACGCAAAAATCCTGCAGAAACTCATTGGTAACTCAAGGAAGAACTGGGAGAAGTGACTGCGTTTGGGTCGAAGCAAGCAATTTTTAAATGAAAATTTCAATATATTTATTATACTACAAGTGGCCACAAGGTAACCTAGTCAATATTTATATCAATACACACGCAAACACGAACAGCCTTAAGGAACCTAAATAGGTCAACGTAAGCAGCTGCTACATTGTTAGCCGAAACCGGCTAACAACATCTGTACAATGAAATGATTCTAGGCATATCTCTAGCTCTCCGTATTTTTGAGTCAGGTGTCGATAACGTAGACTGACAACTATTTCTCCCGACAAGTTTTTGTAACCGTCGTTCGACATTCTCGAATACAAGCAGTCTATTCTCAAATTGTCTTAATGCCCTCCGAACATTTGTTTGAATTTAACACGGGATAAAATAGACGTTTATTGATAGTCTAAATCCCAACCCCAATTTTACAGAGGTACTCCTTGCAACAAGGGAAGTCACACAGATACCGATAGCATGTAGCATATTACCGTGTTAACTGCGCATATTGGAAGCACTATTAGATCATTATCAATAGCTAAACGCACTGTTGTTAAACGACAGGGTCGTTGATTATAGAATATCTGTTGCTGAAAAAATGTCAAAAGTAGAGATGTATTTACGTGGGCTCAGATGAAAAATAAGACTCAGACGTCTAGAAAACAAAAACGGAAGAACACTGAAGTCGATTCGCAATACAGAACAAATTGTGGAAACAGTATGAAAGACACGTAAAAGAATCATATACCAGAAAAAGAGCAGTGGATTTATTAAGATACGGGGTAGATAGCGTACTAGTTCTTAACATATTGATGAAGATAATAACACATCTAACGTTAAAATATGATAATTATCAGGAAGAAAAAGTTGCCATATAATTAGTAGGGAAATTGTAACGGATTGGTCTAATGTATATATGAGTAAGAGCTATATAAATAAACACTATTGTCACTGTGGCACGCGTCGCATATAATGTTCTCAATCAACTCGTTGTGGCCTCAGCGGAGACGCAATATAGCCAAAGATTGATGATAGAAAATATATATAATACAGTTAAACGACAATACATTCGAACGTAAAACGATGAACGCGGAACCCCACAAATACTCGCGTTCTAATTCAAATCTTTGAAATAAACCAAATCGGCAAGAGGCACAGGCTGCCTATTATATAAACAGCGCACCATCACAATTTGCTGAAACATCTACTAAACAATCGTGCTGTTACGAGGTGTACTGACCATCTGAAAAGATTCATCTAACGCGAAGCGTTCTTCAGACACCCAGTACTTAGAGACGAGCATAATAGGGTATATAGTAAACCATTTACGAATCCGTGTACATTTTTAGAAGTATGGCTGTTACCAGCCGGCAGGTGGTCCGAAAGCGCTTACGAAAGCCAGCCCCCAGCTATTAACCGAATCAATGACTGGTCAGTTTTCCGCATTTGCGGTCGACCGATTTTTTTTTTTCGCTGAATTCGTCAAATTACCCTTAGTCAAAATGGTAAAAAACCAAAATGTCAACCATCTGTGTGTACCTAATTTATCAGCATGCTGCGCAAACCGGCCGATAATAAGGACGCTTCTTATGGCCTAAGGCTATGCTAATGAATAGATTAACCTAAATACTATCGTTGATTTCAAGAGATACATATGTATAGCTCTTCAATGTTTTTCTTCCCATGGCAGATTTTTTAGCGATTCACGCGACACTTACGAACAGCCTTTAACAGTTAAGCAGTAAATGAGATTCTGGAGGAATGATTAACCAAAATACAGCCAATAATAACGAATTGAAGGAGGTAATCAGTGATGATTTGTCGCAATAGATGGTTTACCAGCAGCAACAATCTCGAGACTAATAATACAAATATGCCGCTAATGACATAATTCAAAATGGCGACAGATAACAATTAGGTAACGAATTCGATAGGATGAGTCGTGATGTAAAACGTCAAACACAGATACAGAATAACGAATGATAAAGTGATATGGCAACGGTAAAATAACGATAGGCACAATGCGGAAGCGAAAGATGTCTTATTGCAATATGAATGCATACAGGAACAGAAAGCGCTGAAGAGAAGCTAGCCGAAAAACAAGACGCGGGAAATAGGTGGCGCCATCTAACAAAAATGAAATATACATATAACGATATTGTTAATTTGCTTTTTTTTCGAAGGGAAATGACTATTGAGAATACCGAAAGAAACACGATTTAAAGAGCCGCAGTCTGTAAAAATACACCTGTGATTATATCACTAACAATGACAACAAACATTACTAAGCATTAGTATAATATAAAAAATATAATAGATTACAATTAGTATTATTAAAATAAGCATGATGCTGTGTGTCGCAGTAACGATGGTCAATGATAATTATGAATCTTCAATAAATGTTAATGAAATTTATCCGCTAATGAGCTGTGGTTGTTTTTAATAGGAAGATTTTTATCGCAAACATGCATTGATCTTCTAGAGAAGGCAGTTAACGTATCACTTGTGTGGGTATTAACCATACTTATATAAATCTTTATTTTTTTTTACTTATGTCCAGTGCTACGTCTCGCGTATAAATTAAATCACAAAATAATTAAATTGTCACTGTTTTTACTTTTTGTCGACCTTAACCACTGCAGAAAAATCAAGTGCATATCATATTAATCATAATTAATATTCTATGGACATGGCGAGACAGAAAAATCGTTCTGGGTTTCGGTAATCTTCCGCCATTTTTGCCGAACCAAAATATGTCTATATCACTTTGCCTATTACTATTATTATTATCATACTTAGCAGGCATCCTTTTCTCACATGCCCTACTTTTCGATAGAGCCAATGCAAATGTCGATATGAAATATCTGTAGCGTCTTGCTATACCCAATCTGGACGTTCTAATCTTTGTTCATTTGTTTCCATTAAGTGCCTTCCATTCCTTACCCCATTTCAAATTTCTATGACATACTTGTATAAATCTTATATATATGCGCAATACAGCCTGATGAGGTACTGTTTCATCACCGTACAACGACAGAATTTACCTCAATCTGCCTAAAAATATATAGTGTATTGCTTTTTCATTGGCTCGGTGGTTTGCTAATACAACCTTACGTTTGAATTTTTCATAGTTAGCATCATCCTGGTCCGTGTCCTACACAAATGCAGTGGCTGATGGGTTCTATCTTCCTTGTTCTTGGGTCGATTTCTTATCCAGTGCTGTTGTTGAAGATTTCTGCAAGTCCTTTATTCGTCGTTTACACCCGATGCCACTCTGTTTTGCCGCAAGCCGAATTCTGCAGGTGCGTCTCGCGCTATTTCATAGCGACGTCAACTCTCGTAAAGTTCCTTTGAAGTCAGCTTTGGTTCCCGACGCACGGTACTCACTTATAAAACGCTGTTCTCTCCTAGGCATTCGATTAGGTCTTGTGCTTGTACCGTGTAAAACCGAGCCTTTTCGACTTCGCCTCGTATTGTGACATTCGATCAACACGTTGCTACGTTTGCATTACAGAGGTAACATAATGGCGCTGTTTGGCTACACTAACCATAATTAAATAATACTATATATAATATACCAGTTTACGCACTCGCCCAAACCACAAGTAAATCTTTTCAAAACACCAACATCTAAATTATATTATACAAACCAGAAAATATATATTATTAGCTACAAATATAGTACTAGCGACGTAGTCGTGAGCTACCTATAAAACACACACCCACACAAACACACACACATACACAGAGACTTCAGCAAGTTTAGAAGTAAAAAAAATCAAAGAATAAATTTGGCCCTATTTCCAAGAATACGCCAGCTCCAGATCACTCAGAGAAGACCAATTCAATTATTTAAGACAATCTACAAAGGTGTCTTATAAACTACTTTTCAGTACAATGCTAAGTTACCTTAAAACAAAAATAAATGCTAAGTATAAACATTACATCAGCCTCCCAGTAATCGTATGAAAACATAAACAGGACCGATAAGCACGTGCCATTCATACGGATATCGTACAAGCCAAAAGATCACCCTAAATTATCCTTGAAAAAACGCGTTGACACCCCGCATTGTCCTTTTCGAATATACAGTACTTACAATTCTATGGGTTTGCATGGAAGTATGGTTTACATGCAACCGTCAGAAAAGAATATTTCTATTGCTGGAAGTCTGCTTGTTTATGCCGGCCATATACATCTTACGTAGCCCAGCAAGACACTCTACGAAGATGCTAAATCGAATTTGCGTACAAGCAAATACAGTCCACAGGATGAAACGCCGTACTACCTTGGACCTATCGCCAACAACCTTCTAGAACAGAGAAAATGCCAGTAACGTTAATTTGTTACGTTCAACGAAACTGTCGCATAGGAACGGATGAAACCGATGGAGCTCCACTTCGACCGCTGTAGTTCGACTGAAAAGACGAGTTATGCATCGAATTCTTGAACGTGTCTAGACTGTTATGTGATACAGAGCGTGATACGCTGGTGCTTCCAACGCCCATCTGCAAACATCACCAGATAGAGTCTCGGAATTAGTTCTACCCACCCTCTCTCTCTTTCTCTCTGCACACACACACACACGTATATATGTAATGGGTATGTGACTCATTGTACCACATTGGACGTTATTGGTCTATACTGCTATCAAGATAATGGGCATTGTCAAACTCATTTTTCATCGAAACGTACCTTACTGCGGGCGAGATCTTCAAGTCGGGTGATATCGGAAAGCTCCTGATAGTTGGACAACACGACGAGATAGGCAAAGACATTGCCGGCAATCAAAGCCACCCAAATCAGCAGCATTAAGATATGATACGCGTAGTACAGGTCCTATGATATGAAATTCACATTGACATGAACAATGTCTCGATATGAGACCTCACGGAAAAACATGTTTATTTCAAATTGGAAACCTAGTTAAATCATAAAAGACATTCTAATTCTAACAATGGAGCAGGCAGCACTTCGTTAGCTTTAAATGAAGTGTTTTTAAACTAAAAATAATTCAATTACTTTAGTATACATCTTAAGGTACCCAACATTATAAATCTAAGTGCCAGCGTCAACAAATGGTTACCATAGCGTTTCCTACGTAGCTCTATTGGAGAAACCTTGCATCTATAAAGTAAGATTCATCCCGATCGAGCCTTTTGGTGGGAGCAGGTCCTTGTCGCGTAGCCCAAGAACTGCTTACGCCAAAAGGATAGCCGAATGCGTCGAAAAATTATAAGTCCCAATTTATAAATTCATTGTATAATAAATCATGTCGACTGTGATAGAGACCTACGTTTGCAATTGACCGGAACATAATAGCGCAGAAGCGCCAAACGGTGAATATGAACATTGCATACAGCCAGGGCTTGAATTTGGCCTCTTGTTCCTTTCGTAAAGCGGAAATAATTTGTGCGGACGTTACCAGGAGACAAATAGCGCCAATGAACGAAAATACTGATACGGCTATCAGCAGATTCCGTACTGAAATTATTAAGAAGAAGCGAGTAAACGACGATTTCTTTTAGTTGTTCCGCTCGGATTGACTTATGAAAATGATAGATTCTACATCTTTAGAGTGTGTCTAGTTTCTAAAAGATCTAAATATTAATTCTTACCATATACGCTTTGCCCTTCTTCGATGAAGGTGATACTAGTATAGCTCGCAAAATGCCGCTACCGAATATACTATTGGTATGAAAATGCCTTTTCTAAGTGTGAATTATACAAACCATGCTGATTTCCACTATAGACAAACAGGAAACTGATTCCGAAGTATCTAAAATGTCGGGAGCCTGGTAAGGCCTCGGCTAGACAGTAAATATCAAATACCACAAGGCAGATCATAAAGAGGCACTCCACCTGTAATAAATGATTCGTAACATTTAACTAAAATGAATACCAAATTCCGTAAGCCACTTTCCCCCGCTTGGAAACTGCACACAAGTTCCTCTCTAAGCTGACTTAATACGTATACTATTCGCACCTATAGCACTGTTGATTTGTAGCTACTTATAACTTGACTAAGTTATTGAAGTAGTGAAGATTGAATATACAGCCTTACACGAATATACAGCCTTAGTATTCTAATAAACTTGATCGCTGTTTGCTTAACAATAGTTTTATCTAGTGCTTACATAATTGTAGCATTTCTCATCAGTACATTTACTAGTCCATATTTAAGACAGCATAAGCAATAACTGTTGCGCTTTCTGCTCATGAAGAGACGTGTGAGAGAATGTGCGAAGTTGAAACGTCTTCGTATGTCCTGAATAAATGGGCACGAATGATAAACGGGCCCTTAGAAACTCAGCTTCTTTTTCTTATTTAGGCTAATTGTGTTTCAATCGAACAAAAAGCGACACAGTCTAACCATACGTAAAATTTAAAGGAGAACTTGTTACTTAAGTAGTGAAAAACGAGAGGTAGCTTATCTTATCTGCTAAAAATCTTTCAACTTCTCTGATTGTGCAAAACCCTCTATTCGATTCATATTAATAACCCATTTATATTTGTAACCCAGCTATAGCGGCAAATATAACACGAGGTTTCAATATGTTAAGCGTCTTTGATTTAGGTAAATATAGACTCCCTAGCCAGGTATATTTTTGTAACAAATAATTGAAATATGGTATTTTTTGCATTTTTTTGTCATGTGCCTGACTATTTTATTTGCTGCCAAAATACTCTCTTACTGTAATCGTACTGAGATATTTTTTTAGCTTTAGTCCATTAAAAAATATATACAGTCACATCGGATATTCTAAAAAGCTCAATGGCAAGTGTTATATGACTGATTATAACCGGTTCGCTATTGTGATTCGCTCGATAATAAAAAAAAAAACTTGACTTCATTATCACAAGCAGATCTTTACAGAAAAGTGACCGCATTTATCTTGAACAATGTCCTTCCCCCTCGTCTCTGTTAATATTCTAGTAAACGGTTTATCTTTTTTAATGTTGCATTGCTTTTAGACGTCTTTCGATTTCTAACCTACGCTATGTTATCCCGTAGCTTCTTTCCATACAAAGTCCTATTACAAAGCAAACCTTTCATAGCCCTGTATTCTTAAACAAGCAAGCGATTCAAGTCACTGTTTGTTTGACAATGGCTAACCATAAGAACAATCTTTAAATATCTTGTTAGAAAACCGTTATTTAACAGATTGTTCTTTACGAGAAGGTAACCAGGCTGTGACTGATCAGTAAATAAGGTATTAAGCAATAAAACAACTGACTCTAGTAATTTTTTAAAAACTATTTGTTTTAACGTACTACACCGACTGTTGTGCTCTATAGATGTTATTTTTACTTTCCTTGACAACGTTTTTTTTCTATATATCTTTTTTATAGAATATCTGATGGCTTAAAATCGACGCTCTTGCCGTTTAATCCACTTTGTCTAGAGAAGCTCTAAAGACATTTCACAATAGGCCAAAACACCAAATGGAATAAGTGCTTGAAGTGACCTATTTGCACTGTCCCTGACACTGGTCATTTTTTAACGGACGTCACAGGCAAACGCAGGCAATGCAGATGTCCACTGGCTAGCTGCCTCTCTAGTCTGCCAAAGCAAGCGATCGCTGTACTAAAATGGCCCGTCGGTTTACCACTATTGCCAGTGTATGATCACAATGATGAAGTTGAACGGGTAGAACGTCGGCACCAACAAAACTGATCCACTTTTTTCAGCTGAAGTAGACGTATATGATACGTTGTCCTTATTTCGAACGCTGGCTTGACAATTTTGCTTTACCGCAGAATATATGGAAGAGGGCGGAGCGATTTCGCGTATTCAGCGCCGTTACTGTTGCTGGCTACTAATTCTTTATGTTGGCTTGGTTTTTGGCTATGAGCGCGATCGCACACGGTACTATCGTGAAATATCTGTTAAAAACTTTGCCGGCTGGCCGACTGACTTTTATACAAAAGTCAACTAGAAAATCAAAACCCAACAACGTAACTCCTGTGATTTTAATAAGCCTAAATATATGAGAGCAAATCGGATTAAGCTATCTGGACAGAGCTGTAGCATCAGATCGCATCTACTATAGAAGCTTAACTTATCTTTGTTATTTAGGCGTGCGCTCCTACTTGAAAATGTGTCGTGATAAATTGCCCTATGTTGCACAACCTGGGGCAATTGTGTGTACGCCAAGCCTCAAGGGTTTCTAGCAATGTACTGCACTAACAGAGTTACGTTTCAAACAAAAGATGCCCTAATCCAAATAATGTTCCATCTAGATATAGCTTCTTAGATTCAGCTCAATTTTATTCCTGCGATGGTGCAGTGATTGTCTAATATACGCTATATATTATTATTAGATACGAGAGAGAGATAACGATGATTTTATAATAAATTCTTCATTCAACCTGATAGAAATAAGTGAATAGATGATTATTGCGAAGGGGGATAACGTGTGATTGTCTAAAATGTATAAAATGTTTTACGTTCAGCACTTCAGCCGTTAAGTATTATTTCAGACAAATAGCTCTTAGCAGAAAACAAAGTACGTCCCGTCTGGACTAAAACTTAGGTCACACATACCCCAAAATTTAGCAGGCAGAAACGTTATTCACTACCCTACCACACGAAAAGCACGTACGAAATGGCAGACCATAGTTATGATAAGATTCTAGAGAAATCCACTGTATGAAACTAGTAGCAGTACGACCGCGCAATCAAAACACAGAATGGCCCCTGAGCCCCCACACAAGCCACTGAGCTTTGTACTATATAAGCACACATGCAGAAGCGTATAGTCATTATAAAGCGTTTAATAGTTAGTTTAGTTCGCAAACCATTATGACAAACAACGTATTGTTGTCAAAATGTGTGAAGCATCGAAAAATGTCGAGCTCAACATAGTACGCATATGTTATTCAAACTGTCAAATATGCAGAGGCTCTGCGAAAGTTTTTGTCAGTCTGGATAGAATGACGCAGGCCAAAGCGACAAAGCACCAAATCAGGAATTGGTACAGGAGCCCATTGACGAACTGGAAGTGGAAGATCTAGAAATGCTTTTTTGTATTGATCTTCGTTATCTTCCCGTAAGATTAATTCGTGCGCGACGAAGTTTTCTCTACCATACTAAATTCAACATAGCATGCAGCGTTCAAGTTCTCGCCGATAGATATTTCCAACCACATATAATATAATCTGTTACTGGAACTTCGAAGCGCAATCACTAAGATCTGTATCATGCCCTAAATATCCTTTAATCGCAATACCAAATAAAATGCAAAAACAAAAATTCACTTCACAGCAGCTAAGGATCAATGCACGATAAATTCACTTGCCAAAGAAATCTTTATTTATGAGTGAATTTATTTATTTATCAGATCAACTTTTTTTCATAACTTGAGTTATTCCAATTGAACAAGCTTCAAAGCACTGACTATAGCTTATCTAGAACCGAAGTTTAGATGCTACTGAAATAAAGGCCGACTCGCATTTGTATTTAGGTGACCGATTCATAATTGCTCGGTGTAATGATCAAATGGTAGAAATGCGTAAAGCAATTTTATATAGTATGTTAATAAAAATATTTAACTTTACGAAGGAAAGGTTTGTTTGAAATGACGAAACTCTCAAAAAACGCGCCTGGCACTGCCACAACAGTACGCCTTGATGCAAAAACTTTGCAAGTTTGGAACATTTAGTTTTTATAATTACCCAATAATAATGTAGATTTATCTAATGCCACTTTTACTTAACCATACTATCTATTACTTTGTATTGGTACCTACCCCGTAAAACAGATAATCATCCGAACTACAATGCAAATTACTCAGGAGACACGAGAACCCTGAACTTACGAGCGCATAAAGGGCGGCAATATAACTGCCCTTCTGTAAGTTGGTGAAGTACGCATTGTCGAGTATCGGTCTTCGGTGGTACCACTTCTGCTTCTTACGAAACCGCGATGAATCTATAGTACTAGACGTTTTGTTTAGAATCGATCGTGACCCCATGCTTGTTTGTTATCCTTAGCTTACACACAAGATTCCACTTATGGCAAGTTTACAGTTTTTGATGCAGCCCTTCTCTATCTTGCAAAACCGATAAAGATTGGAGCACTCACAAAAAATTTTTACTGTTAATAGTGGTTAGCCCCGTTCGTGGCCGAAATTTACAAAAATCAAAATTACGTAACGATGTAGTGTCCTGACACGATCAATCAAACAGTCATTAAATGGTTCGAATTGAGGGACTTTTACTGGATTGGACGTTAAGCCATGAATGAACCGAAAATAACCACAGTTCCTGCTCTTGGTTGGGTTCGCTGCAGCTTTTGCAATTATCGTTATGTTCTATCGCTATTCCTGATCCGCGTTCGCTACTGCTTCTGTGACGTCGATGCTGTGGACAGCGCCGTCGAAGCCAGCGACTTACGGCGTTGCCATGACGACCCGAGTAAGACAGAAAAGCTCCTGTTCATCACCGGATCTAAACATACGGGGCCATGTGGCAGGATCTAAAGCTGGTTGGATCGCTTTTGTGAAAACTTGAGCACCACACGCAACGAGTACTGTTACATATAGTTTTAGATCAAACTACTCGAAATCAAAGCAATCTATTACAGAAAAAAAAAAAAAAAGATTACTACTATAATTGCTATGTAACTATTAGCGACTGAACGTTTGCTTAGTACATCTGTATTGATTTTAAACACACATAAACATGAATCATGTATGTGTGTGTGTATGTGTTTGCATAAATAAGAGCTAACTAGAAGTTAACAATTATCTTCCTCAGCAACTACATAGTTTCTCTTTGAATTACATGAATTGGCCATTGAGTATAGTGGCCATGACGAAGTTTATGTACCTTCAGCCGATAGTGACCAGTGCCAGTGAGCGCCCAAGGGACGATCGCTGACAGACGCCCCTCTTTAGTGAATCGCCTGGCTGCGCGTTCATTACTGAGCACCAAAAGATCATCAACCTCATTGTCAACAGCTGAACACTGCACGTGCTGAATACGGTCGTTTTTCGCCTAGTCAGTTAGAGGTGACAGTTTAACGCGAAAGTGATTGCTAATTCGCTTGTAAACATCGCGCCTAGCAGCTTGAGGAGTTCTCTTCAGGTACTTATCGAAAAGTTTATGAAAGTTAAAATGCTATACGTTGAAATAGTCGTCATCAAGGCATTATGTATACTGCATCTATGGTAATTAACTAATTCGAGTATACCAATTTTTCCAGAGTTAGAAATGTTTCAAGCACAACTAGGGCTTAATTGGTTGTCAAATGTTTGGTTCGTTTCGTTAAGGATGAACTTGAATAGCAGAACTGATTGCCACTAGAATCTCAAATAGAAATATTTTTATTCAATACTTAAGCCTGTCGTGCAGTAATGAAAATAATGTTGCTTTATCGATTTTAGACAAGCAACCGTGTCTGCTTTTTCTTTATGCAGCCATTACACTGGAGATGAATCTAGCCGCCTTAAAGGGCAACACATCAGAATTTTATTCAAAAACAAAAAGCATTCCTTGTTAATTTACATTGTAGTGTAACGAAGGTTGGCGAACGACTGACAAATCATTCAACCTGCTGATGCTATGGATGCGTCCTCTTGACCCGGTTCACGTTGGATTATTTTACATCGTTCTTCATGATTAGAAATGATGTATGTAAGACAAATTATTTAATTGATTATTATAAATGTACATTGGTCAGTAATTAAACATTATTGTACGAAATAGAAAAAAAGGCGCCGAATATCTTTTGAATTTTTGCACATGTGTTATTTATAGACAAAGCTTTGTCAAATATATATATATATATGTTATGTGGAGGTATTTTCGCTTTTAGAGAAGTTCGTTTGCGCCTTCTATAACGCAATTTACTTGAATTTTGTCCTGATTCTTACAATGGAAAACAATCTCTCCTACTTGACGCTTATTTATTCTGCTATAAAAATTTGGCGTTCTGAATATAATTCCATTTTGCCAACTCTATTCTGATATAAAAATTTTCTTTATAAAATTCGTAAACTGAAATTAAGTATTTTTTATTTTTCCGATTCAAAAATATTTTTTGTCTGTTTTCGTCGTAGAGATTTGACATTCATGTTACCTTAAGCATTAGTAAAAGAAAACTTATGAATAAAGATACCGTCTGGGAGCTCTTTTATTATTTAATTTATTTTAGCAGTTCGCAAATCAGTGACGTATACAATGATCGCTGTACCCGGCGATGAGCACACGTCAACATAAAACTGTTCTTTGTAATAGAGGTGGTATCTCCAGGCAGAAACCTAACCTAGAAATTATCTTAGTGAATAATTATGCAGTAAAACTAATGTTACCAGTACTATTTCATAAGTTTTCTTCTTCTGTCATCAACATCCTATTACAGATGGCTTCCAGCAGCTCTGCAACAATTACACACGATGAATTTGACCAAGAGGAAGCCCCACCCACCCTCAAGGATTTCGCTGCAAATCTCCTTAAAGGTAACATCATAGAGGAGTCAGCGGAATTGCTGACTGTCTATCGTGAAGAAGATGAATTTGAAGACTCAGACAGCGATGAAAGTGACATTGTCGTCGAACCGGCACCGCACGAAGAAGAAGTAGTCGAAGATGCTAAAACAAAGAAATTTGGCCACACCGTCAAAGGCGAGATAACGTTGGATGACTTGCCACCAGTCGAGAGGCTTCAGATCACCGTTGCACAGGATCTTTTGGTTCACGTTGGTGAGCTGTACTCATTCGTTGACTGTCTTGTCGTAGTGGAATCTACCGGTGACCACCCTGTGCTTAATCTCGATACAGCTCTGTTCCTCGGCGATGGTCGTGCTGTTGGCTTAATCTTCGACGTTATTGGACCTGTCAAAAGGCCGTACTATGTCCTCCGTTTCAACAATTCACAGGAGATTGCCGACGAACATTTGGAAAAGGGAACAAAGATCTTCTATGCAAACGGTCACGACAAAACGTTTTTCGTGTTTGAGAAGCAGATTAGGGAATTGATGCAGATGAAGGGCTCGGACGCATCATGGGAACACGACATTGAGCCGCCGGAGCACGAGCTCGATTACTCAAACGATGAAGAAGAGAAAGCAGCCAAACAGGAAAGGCGTGCGAAGAGACATTTGAATGGGCAGCTGGTCGACAGACGAGGATCCAAAGACGACAACAACAACAATAGTAACGGTAGCAACAACAACAACGGTAGCAACAATTACCGTAACCGTCGCAAGAGCAGGGCTGACATTCTCAGCGACGATGGACCTTCTACAGCGGGCCCAAATGGCAGCACTTCGACGTTGCCTAGACGTCACTCACAGGACTTCCGTCCACGACTTCCGTTACAGCAGCAGTCTCTTGTTAGGCGGATCAACGTGAACAATCGCAATAATTTTCGTAACCGCAACCCAATGGGGGTACATCACAGTAATATGACAGCACAGCATAGCTACGTAATGCCGTATCCACAAGCTTACCCACAAGTAGCTCAGGACCCCTGGTCAATGTCCCGCGGGCAATATAATGCAGTGTTGCCAATGCCTCAGCCCGTATATGGTCCTGGAACAAATTGCCCTGTTGTGTTCAGTGGTTCTCCATATATAGCTCCACAATTTCCACCCGGTGTGCAATTTCTACATGGAGCACAGTTTCCCCCGCCTCTTTATATGGCTCCGCCTCCGGCGCCCCCGCCATCGGGACAATATCCTGGGCCATACCAAGTAGGACAGCCCAGATAGAAAAAGATCACGCAATAGCGGATAATTTAATAAGCTGGATTAATGTACAGAGGAAATATCACATAATAGTCGCACTTGACTAAATATGTACATACGAAAATTTAGTTTTAAAAAAATTTCAAAGCCGGCCAGAAGACAAAAAATATCACCACCGCATCGTCCTGCCTGAAGGCACCTAGGACACGCCGTGGCCTATTGCACAAGAACGTATCTAAATTTCTATACATATATTAAGTAACAAAGGTATTATCACCGTTATTGATGAGTCAAACAAACACTCTTCGGTACAGTAGTAACGATGTAAATTTTGTAAATATTTATTATATATACAAACTCAATGTAGTTGAAATATGTACTGTGGTGGCTTATTACTATGATCTTTTTAAATTTCTGGACATGTGCTTTCCTAACTGCACGTGTTTAGCATTTCTGTTTGCTACGAGAAGCATACCTCTGTAACAAATGAAAACAAAGTCAATATCAGGAACGTGTACGATGTTCATTTAATAGAAGGAGGATCACAGATTATTATATAATACAGTAATTGCAGTGCTACTTCATTATCACGTCGGCCGGATATCGTATGACCGGCCACATTCACATGTGTATGTCGGTCTTTTAGCATAAGAATGAGGATGATAATGCTTATTAAAAAAGGATGCTAATGCTGTTTATCGCCTAAACGCAGAGCATTAAAGCTTCTTTTCTATGACGTTCTTTCTAATAAAACTCGTAAGTTCGTGCTCGCTTTTATAGGTGACTATGGTCACTATTAAAAAGCATACGCCTCCGAAAGCTGCATGTGGAATAATGCGATCTCCAATAAGTAGCTCGCTTGTAAGCGTCAGCGCACAACTCGTTATAAGGATAATAATTACCCATTTATTAGGCATTGAACGTAAAACAATGTTTGCATTGATTTGGGCAAAGAAGTGATTGATGTAACAAAAACTTAGAACGATTCGTAATGTCATATTCACCATGTTGGCAAAAATGAGCCCAACCGCACCAAATATCCGACTGAAGACGTACGACGCGACGAGGAAAATCAATGAACACTGGGCCATCTTCGCATTATGTTTATCCAATTGCTTTTTGGTCATCGTGGCAAATACAAAACATTCGGTAATACCGTTTACTGCAATGAATGCTATGTACATGCAGTGAAGTCGCATCAAAGTGCGGCCAAATGGCAGCAAGCTATCGCCGGCATAAATGTACAGTAAGGTCCCGCTGAACGCCTGCCCAAACGTTGCAATTACGAGAGCGACGATCAGCATGAGCTTGAGAAGGTTGCTGAGAATTTCGGCACCCAAACGAACGTCCGATTCTTTTCTCGTGTTCGGATCGCCTCTACCGAAGAGTTGACCGAACAAAAGATAGCCATTTTCCTCCACTTGTCCGAAGATATAACGTGCAGCCAGCGAACCGAGATTGCTGACAGCTTCGTAAACACCCTGCGAGGCAAAGTCGAGAACGCAGAATGTTGTCATAACATAACGTTCGCCTTCGGTAAGAACCTGCTTGAATACAGTTTGCTTGACGAAGCTTGCCGCGAGCTCACCCACGGCTCCATCGACACCCTCAAAGAACGGAATCATTTGGTAAATGTGAGCGATCGGTAAGCTCGTATCAAGGTTATGAGCACACACGAAATGAAAGTATGCGTAGAAAATTACAGTGAAGTAGGTTGAGGCGATAAGCTGTGAAATGGCGTACGCAAGTAAAGCTTGACTAGGCCGAACGAATACGAGCACCGACATCAGGACGCAGCGAAGTGCCAACGCTGAACCTGCAACAATTTCGATTAAGAGCGAACAATGTGGTTCACACGTATCAGCACTCCAACGAGTAGTTATTTATAGATTGTATGAAACCTGATAAATAACACGCGTATGTATAAACGGTACATGTCTGAGAACATTTAAAGTATAATGTTCAAATTGGAAACTGACGAATAGAAAAAAATTAACATCACGGATTCTATGATTTTTTTGGTAAATAGTTTACCTACATTGACTGTGTACTCTAATGACGCCCATATTGTCGTATAATAAATACCACAAGACATAGAAGAAAACAGAAAAAAATCTATTCGCGTGTTTTAATTTCAAATCGAGATTCTTGGAAGTGCGTTACCTCTGTAAGGACGCACCCGCAAGAGATTTGGGTAAAGTTTGTTATTATCATGGCAAGTACCATTTGCGAATATTGGCGGCGACTTTCTAATAAACTCAGTCAGCCCACCAGTCCCATATCAGTTGAGTAACTACGAATATGTGTTATACAGGAAGAATCGTATTCTACGCTTACCTTCGGCAAAAACCTTAAACTTAACGTATCCAAAGGCGCATCCAATAATAAACATAGGTTCAGCCATAACTTCGATAATGGCCGCGACGAAAGTGATACCCACACTAAGCAAATACGTTGGGTCATCTGGAGTTTCTAAAAGATAAACCCATACCACCGAAAGAAGCGCACCCACCGAACTAGCCAAAGGAACACTCAACCAGGATAAGTTAATAATTTTACTCCACTTATCATGAGAGGTATCCGTACAGCACGCTCTGAAATTGGAAAATGTTGACGAAAACGCCATGAATATTCCAGAGTTGTCTTTATCTAACGACTGAAAATGTTGAAGAACGAAGGCATGTTGCTTAGTGTTGGTACCTTTACTCAGTTCATATATTCTATAATACTGATGACATTTAATCAGGTAAATACACGAGTTCATATTCTGTTTGTTATAAATGAGAATCTCGCAGTTGGGTTTACCTCAGTAAAAGATAACCTCCTTTCTGCGGAAGAAGAACATTATCAGTAAACGTGAAAAACTGCATCGTCTATTACCACTATGTGATTACTATTATTAAAAGCGCTTTACACGCGTTGCTGGCCTTGGAATGCAACGCTTTTGAAAACGAAATGTGGTCAAAATGCTGAAAAAATATTAGGGCCTCTTATAGGGGATACACAAGATACACAAAAATTAGAAAATGTGATTTGGATTATTACTAATATTTGGAGTAGTTCGGATTCTACAAGTTTTACAAACAGAAGCAGTGTAAATTTAAGGGGTAAAAAATCCTGTTTAAATACTTTAAACTCTCTGCTGACAGACGCCGTTTAACTTTAAACGAGTATTTAAGCTGACACTAAAAACGACTATGGGGTTTTGGCGCCAAATATTATTGCGCTTTTTATTCACATCCGGTAAATAAACGAAATCCAAAATAAACCTTCAGTGATAATCTTCGTGTTCTAACCGAGAAACTACTCTTCAGTTTGCAGTCATGTTGAAATCATGTACGGTGTTCACAAGGCAAGCTTATTGTTATGCAGCGTTTCTCGATCCGCAGGCACGTTTTTTGTACGCATAAAATGAGACTCCCATGAAAATATTTGATCTATCTCGTATCACCTGATTCAACTGTATCGTTTTTTTGACTCTGCGTTCCTTTGTGCAAAAATCGCACCTTCGAAAGGGTTCACTGGCAAGAAAGTGTATAGTTGAGAATAATAGCATCAGCCGGACATTAATCACTCCGAAGGCATATTTGGTGATGTGGCGAAGTATAAATGCGTTTAAGACGAAGGTACACAAGCGCATAGATATGTGGAGTCCGATATTTAAGCTGATTGCCTTCAAGGCGACAGCTACAAGCGAACCGGCTAATCGTTCATTCGACATAATGGCTATCTGCTTTGAAAAAAAAATCACATTTACATGATCTCGTAATAGCAAGAAATAAGATATATCGAAAACGATGAGAGGACTGTAGCATCAACGGGAGCGATTCAGCTGATCGCAGATACATTCGAATTTCCACTAGCAGACGATTATTGGGTGGTGAGCTGCTGTCGGAGGAGCCATATCATACAAGAGCAAAGAAATTTAGCCTGCGCATGCGCAAGTTGTTAGATGCTGGGAACAAAAAGAAGAAATGTTTCAAGTTTTAGATTGTCTACGTTAATTGTTGTCTCAGACGGCTGACCCCTAAATTCAGTAGGCAAATATGGTACTATTGCCACTACGGGCACAAGGGACAAAGAGCAGGAAGGCGCTCATAGTCTAGGATAGACAAAACAGTATAACGGTACCGTTTGTGTTTTCTGATCAAATATCCTGGGTATTCCTATGTATGGTATTCACGTTATCTAATTTTTGACAGAAAAATTAGTATTATTTTATTAATATTATATGGATATCTTATGTTATATTAAGTAAAACGCACAACTCTTTTTAAATATTCGTGCGAAAAGCATGAATACTCAATAAATCTCAATCTGACCGCTTACCAGAACTCTGATTACTAATATATATTCTACAAATTAATAATCAGAGCGAATAAAATGAACACGGAAGGACACAAAGGAAAGGAAACACGTGCACGTCTCAACTTTGTTATTTGTATGTTTAGTAACTTTGTGTAGTTTTTTTCTAACTGTATCCAGTGCAATAATTATTGAGTCTCGGCTTACACAAGACCATGTGTTATTACCTACTGCTATTGCTACATGCTGATTTCCGGCTGTTTCAGTTTCATATGGACTGTTTCGGTGCTTCTCTATTAAATTCGCTGTGTCGAATCGGAAACGTACGCTATTTTCTTCACCTTCTTCTCAACATAAAGGGGTTGTGCTCGGATGCGCAGTAACGAATGCCTATATTATATACCTGTGTTTAGATGGTGTCGACACGACGCCTCTGAAAGCTCGCCTGAAACGCTATGTCGGAAAACCACATCCAAGTAGACAATTTCCCGTAAGAAGAAAGCCTCGCATATTACTTGCATCTGCAGATGGTAAAAAAATCTGAGTGTCGAGTGTAACGCCCTGTAGCAATGGATCAAACTTTAACTAGTTGGACCCAATCTACAAGTACGTCTAGCAGTAAAGTGTTTAAAGTAACTCTTTTGTCGTGCCTAAATAATTTATAATTCGATTAAAAAAACACACGCCAACTATTAAATATGAAACTTTGTCAACTTTATTAACATCTCACCCTGATTGAAAACTAAACGCAAAATATCGTCTAAAACTGAAAATCTGGAAGGATAAAATTCTAGTTCATCTCATCCCACTTGGCATACGCTCAAAATACTCCTGGCTCGCCTCCTTCAAATGTATGAGCGCAATAATAATAACATTAATGGTTCTATATAGTGTATATATAATATTTATATATAGTAATGTACCGCCTCTTTCTGTTTATAAGTTTTCTCCTACACTTGCCCTACAACACAACCTAACTAGATCTGTTTGTATCGTGCTCCAAATATACAACTTTTTTTCTTTCTCTCACCATTTGCTACGGCTTTTATATCATCTGCTATATATATATATATATATATATATATATGAGATGATTTAAAAGATATATATATTCCTTCTACTTTTCGCGTTGCGGTGTGTTCATGCAACTATGTGCACAGGTATCTTTATATCGTATCGTAGATTTCTATACAACCAGGTTATAACAGTTTAGAACCTCCTCTTCACTTCAATATGGCTTCCCGATCAATAAATTTAGCGTGACCTTTTCCTACCTGAATGTTTCTCATTAACTCGCTAAACTCTTTTCATTGTTGTTGTCAATTTTTTTCGATTTGTGAGAAAGGTAGACACTTCGTACATGCGTGAACTCGCGGTTCTAGAATCACCATTCAAATCCAATTTACCCTCTTTCGTCAATCAAATATTTATAGTATAGAACAACATTATTTGTTGCTAACAGTATACTTATGTTGTCAATCAGTAAACATTTCTTAACTTTTGCTTTCATTCTTTTACCGTTCTTTCACTTGTGCTCTATTTACAGATATGTACTATATATCACTATTCTACCATTATTATTACTGTCTATCCTCAAAGATGCATTTACCATACACATTTTCGTGTTCCCCTGCTACACTAGTGATTTCATTCTCGTCAACTTTGTTAATAGTTTCCCTTTCCCTAAATCTTCTAAACTATTTACTGCATCTCTGTGTGTGTGTATATATATATATATCTTATTATTGCCGTTTGTTGGCAGTTAATTATTAATGCGTGTCAATACCGAACTCGGTATAAATAGTAGATAGATATTCTCTCTTATAAATGACCGATGAAAGTGGACATGACTTACACAATCCATTCTTCAGTGAAGAAACATCTGACCTGTTTTTCTCGTTTTCGCTGCTTTTTCGTCTACAGGTCTGTATGTTCATAGCTGAATTCAATAAACAGATTTATACGAGTGTATAGATCTGAATGCTAGGTTAATTTAACCCAACGAGCACCATCTGTATGGATCATAGCGGTATGTAGTGCTCCAGTTAACTTTCATAAATCTTCTTTTCATCAAATGCAGAAAGCTGTATTTCAAGTTGCAATAATCGCAGGTGTCGCGCTTCTGACGATCTCTCATTACACCAATCCCATGAGATAAACACTGTTCGTTCTGGGAAGATTTAAGGTAAACGAGATATTGTTTTCGAAGATAAAGTTATGACGACTTTACTTTCAAATCTTTGATCAGTAATAGCAGTGAAAGAATTATTTTACGGTTATGATAATAGCTGGGTCCTTATGGTTCATTCGTTCATCCATTTTCAGCACAACTAGAAACCATACTTATTTGTTTACCACATGTATCAATCAAATGTTTTCCTTTTCTTTTCTATGTCAGCTCGAATATCGACTTTATTTGTCATCGCGTTTTTTTGAAGGCACCAGCAACATTTAGGCGCGCCATCACAGCAGCGCCACCGCTAATGCTGTACTACATTTTCCATTACGTTTCTTATTGTTTTTTCTTCTCGCACGTATAATTAAGCAAACAAAATACATCCCTGCATTATACCTTGTGGTATTCTTAACCAAACTGCATGAGGTGACAAACGCCCCCTAATACAATAGCCAGAGCTGCTATGTCCATAGAATATTGCTGAACGCTCATTTTTTACGCGGCGGAATCGGTCGCCGACGTTCTTGCCCCCGCAATTGATTCCGGTCGAACTGATGCAGTTCAATGAGTTTGAGCTTTGTTACATCCAAGAAATTATCGCGCCTCAATTATCAGTTTTATTGTACTAAGAAGATTGTTATTAGTTTGCTTTAATTAAGGTTTAACGTGTACCTGTGAGATAACCTGTAATTACGCCAAATGCAAAATGCTGTCTTATAGATTTTGTAAAAATGCATGTCTTTCGAAGACCGATAAGTGTCTGCTATTTATCCCCTTTGTCTTATTATAATGAGATTTAATAATAATAGCATTTATTCCACGGCACGCATCTCTTATAATAGCTAAGTTGACTTCTATAAAACCCTTTAAGCATTTTGGGAACTAGATTCTTCGACATTACTAAAAGAACACTCTCTAAAAAACCAGCATTAACTGGCTATGATTAAGTTTCTTTCACACAGGCACAACAAACGATCTTTTTCAATCAAAACGATTAATGTCCCTCAAGGTTCAGCCTGGCTTTCTGGACGGCCAATACACAGGTCCTTTTTGTGTCTCTTTTTGCCCCTTGCCATGTTATTCTACGTCTACGTGCCTTCATCAGATGGCTGACATTTCAGTGTTTTAATCTTTGATACCCACTTCCCATAGCAATTCTTTTGCCTAGACCTCCTTCCGTTCGTTTATTTCAAGCAAGGCGAAATGCCAGTTTATTGCTTTAATCTACTGTACACAATTGATTCACGCCTTAGTCATCACCATAATCCAGTAATGCGTTATTTTAATACGTGATGAAGATACTTTTTCACTTCGGCTCTTCTTCAATAAACAGTACTAGTGGTGGTACTTTATAGCTTTAATATGCATTCAAATAATTAATTCTTGAAGGATTGAGTGACTCGGCAACATTTTTTCTGGGTGTCCTCATTCATCTAATCTCACTGCCAGCTCCAACACTCTTGCTCATAATGATCATGACGCCAAACTTTTCCAAACGACGCTTTAGCCGCGCGAACTTGTATGCACGATCAGACGCGTACCGAGTCGTTCTTCCTTCAAGCAACAAATTAATGGCGAATTAATCTCATTACAAAGGCATGCAGAAGCGATTTGCTGAAACTCTCTGCGGCCAACGATACGCGCTACTGAACTTTCCCCTCGTCGTTGTCGTCATTTGCTGATGCTGTTGTTGTTTGGATTTACGAGGCCTCACGAGCTGTCATCGCCATATGTGCTCGGTTCTTTTGTCTTTCTCTACACTGGATGATGTCGATCTTCTGAGTTGTTGTCTATGCAGTTACATCTGTGATTCACTACTGGGCGTCAGTTGGCACCACTCGAACAGGATAGAATTCAGCAGTGGGGTGATCCTCTTCCGGCTGCCCCACCCGCTCGACCAGGTCTCATCCTTTGTGTGTAGCCATGAGCCACGTCAGGCCCTCCTGTAACCCATCACCTTGGATAGCACACGCCGGCTGCACGTACCAGTGCCTGTCGCGTAACCGTGTTAGGCCGAGCTTTTCCTGGATCTCATGCGGCTTCATAGCTGTAATGAAAGCAAGCGCGGATAGAACTGAGTGTAGATAAACGCCTTTCTAATAATAATAATAATACTAATAGCCGCAAGTCCCCTAATCGAAAAAATAATTTTTCGTGTCATATAAAATCGGAAATTGCATTTCGTCTTCCCCCCAAAACTCAAAACTCCTTGTTATTACGTACTGTTCAGACACAAAAACGTCACAAAGCTCTTTTCTGTGAACTCCTATACCACTCATTATCGCATGAGTAAATATCAGACTTTTCATACCGTCTTTGTGGTCCTGTTTATTGGCAAATACGAGGATAAGGGCATCTCGCATTTCGCGGTCACTTATGATACGATGTAACTCCTGTCGTGCTTCGTCTATACGATCGATATCGGATGAATCTACAACAAATATCAATGCCTACAACGCAAAACAAAATGTTAGAACTGACTGGTAAATGTTGTGACATAATTAGGACAGCGAAGTACTATATTTTTTATATTTAATTGTTATCTCTCTCTATAGCACCCATAGAATCGGCGACAGAATCTAATTTTAGTTCTATGTAAAATTGCCGATACGATTGGGATGCGTTATTGACGACTTCGATGTTCGATAAAAATTCGAGACCGCTTTGAAGGAAGCAATTTAAGATGTTACTGATAATAGTTGTTATCACATGAAAATGCATAGGTGGCGGGGTTATCCTTTCTTTGCTACAAATTGTGATTCAAAGCTTTGGTAGGACATCTCAAATTACGCTAACGGCCCGTAATCATCTACTAGATTCATTTTGGACAAGTAAAGATAACGGTCCAACGTAAAGCCCCTAAGGAAACGTAATACAGACTGACGCCATCTATCTTTCGGCCCACCATTGTTTCTTCAAGAGTTGAACGTTCTATAACAACAGATATGTACCAAAAATTGGAGAACGCAGTTGCTAAAAGGGTTGCAAATTAGCAGCAAAGATACAGCTATTTTATAGTACGGCGATGTCGTAATTAATATCGAACACGGGGTATCTTCGGAAGTATAATAGACTGATAAGTGAAAAGTGTTTTAGTATCGCTTCAAGAAGATACGCCAGTTCGTAACCTTCTGGATCAGTGGGTACTTCCGAATCAAGCAACCTATAATAGCTGAAAAAAATAACAGTAACGGCATCGTATGCTGACAACCGAATCACCATCGCAAAAGAAGAGAACTGCTATGCTACAATTTCCAGCCGCGGTGACGGCGGACTTCGTAACAGTCGGTCCAAATTCACTGACAATCATTTATTTTATTTGTTTACAGTGAAAAGGCTTACTGATATTAGCGATATGAGTAACCGCCTTGTAGATGCAGATGATTCTTGGAGACATCTTTTGATCTTAGAGAATTCTTACTTATATTCGATATAGTAAACTAAGGTAAGCTGATGTTTAAAGAGAATTTATCCACCACTTACTGTAGACCTTAGCGCGCAATGGAGGCATGGCGGGATTGTTTTGTCTGATGAACGCATTCATGAAACGTATCTTCTGCTCTCTCGCTTACCTGTGTTCCCGTGTAGTAATGTCTCCAGAGCGGTCGAATCTTGTCCTGTCCACCGACATCCCAGACGTTGAATTTGACATTTTTGTACGTGACGGTCTCGACGTTGAATCCGACGGTGGGTATTGTCGTAACTGATTCACCCATCTTCAATTTGTACAAGATTGTTGTCTTACCTGCATTGTCTAACCCCAACATAAGGATGCGCATTTCCCGATTACCAAATATTCGCGACAGGATCTTCCCCATCGTTCAAGTCTTCTGTCGAACCGCGTAGGTCTAGTGCTGCAACTGTAACGACCGAACCATACGACTGGTTAAGGAAGACACTTTCTGCTGGCAGGTTTTGTAACGTTAGTAATTAGGTTGTTTTCCTTAGAACATTCCCAATGCAGATAACTGTACATTTGCGTCACTCTCACTTTGGAATATACGCACAACTCGGAATAACTAATCAGTCCGTTTATCTCTCAAGGAATAGTGAAGATGGGCATTGTCGCTACTACACTATATATCTAAAACCCGAATTTCATCTATAGACTTTTACTCTGCGGCGGTCTGAGTTTGAACCCGAGCCTGGGCACTCTCGTTATGCTTGTCTCGTGCTGGTAGACCACCGTCCGATGGTATACCTTACGGCGGTACCAAATGTAGAATTCAAGACGTTTACTTCAGTCTTGTACTCTTATGTTAGTCATAGTAACCTTACGGTATTGTTCTCGCAGACTTACGGTTTTTAACTAATTAATAATATAATAGCGGATGTGTCAGAACAGGATCTTCTTTTAATGTTACTACTTATCAAGGAATTTCATAATTTTTTTATACACCTTAGTAGATAAAGCTGGGTAAATAAAAATTCTGCGATAACCCTTACGTGTCTTCTTTCTTTTTCTTACTATTCTTCGTGAAGAGTGAAAGTGAAGCTACGTTGCTAAGGAAATTCATTCATGTTTCCTTTCTTTCTCTACGTTTGAATAACCATCTCAAGGCGTTTCGCGATAATTCAACCTTATAGCAATTATTATTTTCCGAAACAAAGTAACTTTGGTTACTTTGGAAAATGAGTTTTAAACAGAAAAGGTAATGCATTACTCCTTGAAGCGCCTAAAACAAACGAGCAAAAACCCTACTCGGCAGTAGTCTGTTGTTTGTCCTCCGCGAGGGGAGGCGTGTGTCTCGTAAGAACACCTTAAAAGGAAACCCTACAAAAAAATCGCAATTAATTGCAGTGCTCCTCCCCCTCCACACGCTTAAATTATGAAAGCATTTTCAGAGAGTTAAGAAGTTCAGAAGGAACACTTATTTCAAGTATAGAAGCTCTTAGACAGAGCGCACAACGGCCAATTAAAGGTGTGACTGTCCACCCACTCAACATTTTGAGAACGGAATCTGGACGATATGGTTTATTTTTAAAGGAAGTGTTAATCCAGTGTTTTATATATATATATATATATGTAACTTTTTTTTATTTTATTTTTTTTTATATATATATATCATACTGGATTAACTTGCCCACAAAGTGTGACGTTGACTTCTGAGAAAGGCAAATGTTCCTCGTTGAGGGCGGTAGTCTCCGAACCGAGAAGGGTTGTGTACTACAGAAATGGTAACTGATGTTATGATGAGCTTTGTTCTACTATATCTGGTGCACCATTTACTTTTTTGACGCAAATAAAATCTACAACTGCTATAAAGGGTAGCAGTATTTTACGATGAGGAGCTGAAGGTTGTAGTTTTTAGTTAGTAGAATCGCATTTTTTCCGGACGTGTACAATGGTTGCTAAAGAGGCATGTACTCACTATCTGAGCTATTTTGTGAAAGATCGACGTAGCAATTCTGCTACTTTAAATATTTTTGTTGCTGTATCTCTAGATTTTTCAAGTACTGCGTAATATTCCTTTACTTATGGCATTGGTCGAATCCTAGCGAAAGCAACACTTCCACGTTTGAGATACATCCGGATGAAGTACAAAATCATCAGCAAATGGGTAAATATTTCAGTGAGACAAATATTGTACTCACTGGCCAGAGTTTCATACATTTACATTGAACTACCTTATAATTTATTTGTTATTGACTTTATATATTTATATTTATGACTATATATAATATATAAATATTTCCTATAAGATTCAGGAAACCCAGGTTTTATGCTAATAGCGCAGTTCAGTGAATGCGTGTTCCAATAATTGACTACAGCGAGCCGGTACTGCTTCGGTAATAGCCATTTATATAACTAATCTTTGGCTAGAGTGGAGTAGAGTGGTCAACTCCACGCTCGAAAAGTAGCTTAGAAGAAGCTTCGCTCTAGATGATACGATCAATAGTTAAGAATCAACACGGATATTTTTTGGTTGCTGTGTTATTGTTGTACTTTGAAAATCTTATCCTATAAAATCTACCTAATTCTACTCAAAGCAGTACAATTATTCGAAATAGCGTCATGCCCCACTACAATATATTATTGAAAAATAATTCAAGTATAGAAATAACAAGAATTAAATTTTTTGAAAAAATTAGACATATTTTAACTGTAATGTTTGACATCTTAAAATACCTCAACAAGAAAACCGATTAATAAAGGATTTTTTGCAAAAATAGAATATATGGAAATCGTTGTCATCTTCAAGCCATTCGACATGAATAGAATGGAAATGGATAGTATTGCGCACACTCTTTAACAAAAGCAATGACTCAAGACAAAACCAAAATCTGAGCGAAACTCTAACGAAGAAGGTAACTTGCTTGTGTGGACTCATTGTGATATAGGAATTCTAGTGCTTCTGAGCATAAGTTGTTACTTATGATAAACTAAGTTTTTTAAAGTAAGACTTCAATCCAAGCTAATTCCTATTGCTTCAATAAAATATGTTTATAATCGAAATTTCAAGAGCAGGTAAATACTTTGGTTTGTAGTGGTGATTTATGAACACTATCCCGGTTTATTCAACAGAATCACAACCACGGTGACAGTATTGTAAACATCGTGTTGTTGTTGCATCGTTGTGTTGTTGAACCATTATAGCCATTAGTTTTCGGATACGAAAAGCACTGACATATATTGCGGTTAACACTTGTTGCTCTGCAAGGCGTCTTCTATTGAACAACGTTAAGAAAGAAAGCCGATTGTCAACGGTCAAAGAATGCATTGATGTGCAGCCACAGATACATGTTAGATTACAATTAGGGCTAACGGATCATGATCGAAACGACCTGCAACTGGCCATGTTACTACCAGTATAACAAAATCTTTTTACAGTAAGTTAATCCCGAGTTGCGTAACATTTCTACGACAAATAGCAAGCATAACACAAGCCGTTATCACTCTCACTCATATCGAAACAGTCGTATTTAGGCATAATATGCGTGATTCGTTAACATAAGAGCGCCTTAGATGTACCTGACTTCAAACCGGATATGGCAAATAAGTCAACTACCTGTGAGCAGTAAACAATGCCGCATACGAAGTTCTGACAATGAAATATGGGAAAACTGCAGTTTCCTCTTTTATTATCGGAGTGAGCAGACTTTCGAATTAGATTTCTGTTCTAAAGAATTATATATAAATGCCAGTAAGCGGCGAGTACGTGTAAATGGAATTCGCAATTATTCAGGACATCTAACGTCAAAAAATGAACTTCCCAATGGAACGCTTATCCTATATACTACTATCACCTGACGGATACATAATACTGCCGGATTCGAATAGAAATTTCTTTTTTTCTTATCCAGAACGGCAGTTTTATGCTGTCTGTGCCTGAATGCGCGCGATTTTATGGCACAATTTCAACAACCAATTTCTAACTATATAAAACATTGAGATACTGTATATCGCGCAGCGGGTAACGTGTTTGCATGCTGAACAGTGGAACACATTGTGGTCTAGGTTCGAATCTAAGCACTGACACGTTTCGGTTAGCGCTGGAAGCCAATTTAGCGTTTAGCCAGTAACGCTTAGCGGCCGTACCGTACGTAGAACACGAAAAATATCCTTATGCTTGTAGTTACGGCAAAGCAATAACCGTAATCGGTATCACGTGACGATGTTCCTGTTTGAAACGCCACCTATATTTTGTCCTCCCTATTATAGCTATCTTGGCCAACATCGGTGATCCGTCAAATTGAATGTATGACCGATATAGAAATAACTCCTCTGAATATTGTACCTTAATATCGTTATATATAGTGATTTGATTATATTTAGTCTCGGTTTTACTCACTTACGTTCGCTTTACCGTATTTCGAGCGTTTGGAAATGGCAATACTAGATAGCTAAAGGTAACGCTTTCTCTTTAATGTCAGCTAGTGTTTATTAGGCTGACATTATGCCATGGAAAACGAGTATTGTCAGGTGAAACGAGCGAGCTGATCGGCTTGCGTACTCAGCACGAATTAATTGATCGAATCTACTGCAAGCCTGAATCAGACCAACTGGAGCGACCTAAACTTTTCATCTCATGTTTATTTAGTTTTATCAAGTGTAAGTTGAACACAAACTGCTTTGCTCACTCGTTACAACTAAACGTGAGCCTAAAAGGACATGGTGCGATTAATTCGGACTACTAATGCCCCCTACATGCCATGTGAACTGTGTCTGCTTTTTATCTTATGCGTAGTATAGCATCCAAGCGGACCGAACTATACTTTCGAATTGGATTTCGATATATATAGATAGAGAAAAATTACAATGTACGCGTAATGTTTGTTCTAGTATGACGGGTGAATATGTGCCCAATAAGACGTCTGTTTGATCGATATCAATTTGTGATAAACTTAAATTTAAGCTACCAAAATGCGGTTTTAATTACGTAAGACACCTGACAAAATCTTCAACCATTCTGAATTGTGAATGATATTATCAACAACCAGATGGCGAATTTTTGGGAAAATACATTTCTAATAACACTGATTCCTGTTGTGCTATTTTGTTGCAAGTAAAACACGCTATCAATTGAACATATGCCTTTTTCAGTGAACAAATAGGACAATTACTCATCTATAAATAGTTACAAATTTGAGTTATATTGGGTTTAGAACAACTTATTTGCAATCCTGTTGTCCAAAAACATGCATCTATGGGCTTGTTTTAAATTTATAGTGCACTGACGAAGAATTTACTTTCGGATTAAGCATAAAGCGAATTTGAACTGGATAGAAATAAATGCTGTCTATTGAAATCAAGTCATTTTTTATAACCTTTCACTCCGCAATGCAGCGCAAACAGGGTGCAGCCGTACAAATTACTGCTATGGATTACAGTTCAACTCATGCGTTTGATCTATATGGGCAATGTAAATACTGTAGTAAGCCCTATAAAAGTACACGTGAAAATCAAATGAACCCAAAATTCAAAACTTAAAAATCAATTTCAGAGAATATCGAGCCGCACCGTATAGATAAAATCGTTTGCGAAACAGTAAATTCGGGTAATCAGAAAGAACACAATAATATTTAAGACTTCGATAGGTTGTCTGCTTCGTTATCAAGAGAATGACCCTTACCATGTTAGTCATCTTCCAAACAAATTGTAGAAGTAAAATTTACTTCACGCCGATGGTAATGTGAAAACATGACCATGCGGGTAGTCCAAAAGAAGAGGTCTTTCCATTACCTTTGGCATAAATTGAAACCGGTTGCCCTTCTAAACTGGGAATAATTATTCGGCCTTTATAACGTTCTTGCTTACGCCATCGTCTTCCACAATGGAAACGGTATTTATTACATAAGTACGCATTTCACTCCTACATATGGTATGGTCACAGCTGGCGATGTGGATACACAAACACAATTCTGTTCATTTAATGATAACTACCTTTATCATATTCTCTACCCCCTAGGCGATACTGTTTTCGCGTGGGATTTGTCCCAGCAGAGGCTGCTCAACGCCGTTACTCCACCCAACAAAAAAGACCGCAGTAATACGGGACGGACAACTGGAGCGTTTTGAGACGAAAAGTTATGGCACCGTAGAAAAGATTTGCATCGTTGTCTTAAGGTTCCCCAGAATAATGGGGTGTCTCGCTGAATAGCAGCGGCGAAGTAAAGTCGATTCAGAGCTTTGAACACACACGACGCCAAACGCAAACATGGCGCTAATATCACCCGATGACAACTGTTGCCATCAAGCGCCATAGCTGCAGCGGCCTACGTTAGGTCCTCCTCCACAGATCAATCGACACAACAAGGAGACAGGCGTATTGGTGCCCTAACAAAAACATTAACTTCTGTTCGAACGCGGACGGGGTTTTTTCGCGTTGATGTCGGGTGTTCGGTAACGTCGCACTGCTCTACCACCATCGATTGTACGTTAAACATTACAGATATAGACGAATGGCGCACCCATGAAGGAGACGACATGGTACCCAACATGTAGATTTGGACTGAATGCAATTCGAGTGAATGAATCATCCTGGCATTAGCAGCTAAACGATGGTTTGGCTTGTGCCAGCTTGTAGTTCCTCACAGATGTGTTTCTTTGATGATGAAAATTTCTCATAAGGATTGAAAATAAATTATATTCAGACAATTTTGTGACAAAAAATGAATAGCTACTTCATTTGGTACCTCCATTGATCGACAGACCCTTGGAGTAATTCGCCGGACAGTGAGAGCTAGTTCTAGATGCATGGCGAAACAAAAACAGACTAAAATACGAACTGATAATAAGTATTGCTGTACTTCGTAGGCAAATTAGTGTTCAAAACAATATCTGCTACCACTGAAAGCATCAGATGCTTGTATGCATCCGATTACGCCTGCTCGGTATGTTATCCGTTCTTAGTCGGCACGCGTGTAAAGGAATAAATAGAACAGTTATCAGACTAAACAGAAGACATCGTTGTTTTTGCTCAGTAACATATCTCATTGGCTAACCAAGCCGCATACACATACATGCCCGCTCGTCATTTAAGATAGAAACTGTATGACGCATTCGACACTTGGCAATGCTGAAGGCTGATCCTTTTGATTTAATTAGTAATATCGGAACGATATAGTTTAAGTTCGTCGGTTCCGTGTCTATAAGCAGAACGTCTTATGGCAGCACCGCGTATAGGATATGGCTCAGCAACAATAAGAAGCCACTAATTCATCGACGGCACGTTCTTCAACGCCGCCCGATAATGTATAAACTCTAGTTGTGCCCCACAGTCTTAAATATAATTTATAATGGAACAAAGTCAAGCCATAGCCAGATCTGACTGAACCATATCCGATGTGACCAGCTCTCAGGATCCGACGATCCAAGCACACGGGCTACCTTATACTGATGGCGCGTTTTAGCCACCACTGCCACTACTTTTATGGCTGACTGAGGCGGTGTCCACGGAGAGCAGGTGTTTCTTCATCCGAGAAGCAGAGAGCGGCAAGCAGCGCCAGTAAGCGCAGTCTTCACACCGCCTGATTCGGTCTGCCTTCGAAGGTCCTTTCCTGCCTTTTACTGCTTACATTTATGACAGAGACTGTCAAAGCCTACTACATTCGAATTGAAGAAGGCGAGACAACACACAGGATAGTCGTATGTAGATTATTACCCAGCGACGGTGTTTCAGCGATTGATCCCCACCTGTAACTCTTCTTCAATAACGTCTGTTGTATTACTTCCAAACGATGTGGCTCCCACAGCGGGAAGCGATTGCCCGCTGTTAATACACTTAAAATATGACAGGAATAGGCTCACACAAAAAGGGGTACAACTAATGATAAAGACAAAAAAAACTTGCCTAGACAACTACGTAGCTCTCCCTACGGCTGGTATTAGTCGATCTGACAATGTCAACTACTGAAATCGTTTGATTTAAAGTACGAACCTTTTGAGTTGAAGACGATTGATGAACACACTCACATAAAGACACAACAGCACAGAGAAGAAGACACCTAGCCACACTGATGTCAAGCTGTTTTTCTTCGTAGCAGTATGCACAGCTTGTTACGAAGGCAGAGCTGAGTGGCACCTTAGCACAGGAGGTCACGCCGTCCTATAGACTGCCAATCGAAGCTAACATACCAAGATGAAGCTAGACAATGGCTGAACAAAGCCCCGGTAATTAGATCAAACACTTCGACGATAAAGAACAGACGGCGTCGATGACAAGAATGATAACACTAGTGGCGTCTGACGATTTCTGTTTCGTTTGTTGTCTTTAAGGTGCTGCTTCGCTGGAACTAAAGTGACGCTCTGCACGGCGGAAACAACAAACACGAAATCACTAACAAGTAAAATTGCCTAATTGGATAGCGATGCTCACTTCAACCACCGGTAGACAACTGACCAGCACGAACCGCTGTACCGTACGATTAACAGCAGCACAACAAGCGGAAAGGCACAAACCGGTTATACTCCAAAATACTCATATTGGCTCAATAGCATTGATGGAATATCTATCACGGCGTACCAGATTGCCTTACATAATTCATTTGTCGCGTTACTATTCCGTACTGATTCTTAAAGATGGATTAGCTGATTAATAGTATTGCAGTAGCATACAGCGTTAGTGATATTGGCCACCAAAAGTGTCAACCGCCCGCTGTTAAGTAAAAGGCAGCCGAAAAGGCACACGCACACAGGCACTCACGAACACTCCGAGTGGTAGTAACCAATGACGACCGGAAATCACCTAGAGAACGAAGTCAGCCGTCGCTCGGTCAGCTATTGCCAGAACAGTGATTATGTTATGCTGTTCGATTCTATGACGATCGCCACTGCCGCCTCACCGTCGCGCCGCCGTTACTCACGGCCAGAACAGCAGAATACAAGACAAGAGCAAACACAGCCTGCTGCTCGCTGGCTTGCTAAGCTGTCAGTTGTTATTCAGACGTTGTTCCACCGTCCTGCCTGCCCGCCCGCCCGCCCGCTCGCCCGCCCGCCCGTAACGACGGCGAGGACGACAACAACGCCGGCCGCAGTATCGAGAATCGAGACAGGCGACCGCCAAAGTCAAATGAAACGGGTTAAACGGGCAGGCGGCAAACCGAAGGAGAGGCTACTCGACTGAGTTTCGGCATTAGCAGAAGCAGCGAATGCAGAAATAAGTCGTTCTAGTAGACGATTAGCAGATTTCCCCTTAGCTTTTCCGACGTTTCTTCTTTTAGGGCCGCCGCAGACCCTAGAAACAAACAGCAGCGCCACAGTTTATTCACGACAAAGACTACTGCCACTACTTGTGCTACTCACTCGAGAACGGCGACGGCGATCACTGCTACAGTCACTACTGCACACACAGCGGTGTTGCTAACAATAATAGCAGTACGGCAGTAGTAGCAGCCGAGATATACAAACTGCATCGACAGCAGCAGCAGATCATATCGCCATATTCAACACCGACACGGCAGTGCAAACACCTAGACACAGCCAGGCAGACAGGAAAGGACCGACAGCCATGGACAGCCCACTAGATTGAGATACGACAACTCACCGTCACGGCTCAGCAGAAGACAGCCAGCCAACCAGCTAACAACGGCCAGATTTCAAGAGGCAAAGTTTCAATTTCGTACGAACCAAGCAAAGATCACTACTGTCGCTCTGGTAGGCCTAAGACAAGGCAGCGAAGGATCCGTTAGCGGCAGCAGTAACTGAAATACAACAGCAAAAACAACAATAATCATATGTAAAATGACTATGTTCGACTGATTTCTAAGGTAACGTATTTGGGTGCTAAACCTGAGGGACACGTGGTGGTCCGAGTTCGAATCCGGACATAGACACATTTCGTTTATAGCTGGAAGCCAGCCGTTTGATGGAATGCCTAACGGCGGTATCAAGTATAAAACTTGGAACATTCAGCTTTAGTTGAAAGTGACAGCCGTAAGTGGAAGAGAGCTGCGAAAAATTGGCAGTGCCAATTCCTAATCCCAGTCGCGAAGGCAAATTCGGCCGAGCAGAGAGCTATTGCTTCCGCCGCTAATTCCACACGGCGACAAAAGATAGAGAACGACCATTGTAGTAGCTAATAATAGCACAGACGGAAGAGAGTTTCTAATATATGTGATTGCATGACTGTTATCAAACTTAGTAATGCATTTCTTATTCGAATTAGTAATTAATGTTATGATTAAGTTCGCGCCATCACTGCCGCTGGCGTTGCGGCCCGCTGAAAAGCGGCTGCTATAACGGATACGAGAAGGCTTTCGCCGTTGCCGGCACTTGTGTCCAGCTTGCTGATCCATTACCGAAGTAGCAGAACACAACGTAATTATTAGGGAGAAGGTAATCCGCGGCAGCTCAAACGGAGGTCGCTTAAAGACTGTTTAAAGATTCAGTGAGAAACTGGGCAAATTCTGGATGCACTAGCGGGACGAAATTCAGGTGACTGGTGCACAGAGTTTAGTACGAGTCGTCCGCTTGAAAAACATGCCTGCGCCTTCATAGCAAACGATAGCAAACAATAATGATACATTTTAATCTTCAGAGTCGAGCTGAACCGTGTTTATGGGGAAATACATATGAAAAAAGCCCGGAGGAGGGTAGCAAATGACCGCCCTTATGGAAACACTGCACTAGGCACAGGCGTCCATTAATTATATCTGTGCATATAATCGAATGCGTCAGCAAATGACGGTGAGTGTTACATTGCGTAACTGTATTCTCATAGTAAAATTTTATGACACGACTAACTTAATGTAAACACTCAACTGTACGACAAAAGCGGTATTTATTACTGTATCTGCGTGCAAAAACAAATGATTTATAGTGTATCCTTTTCAAAGCGTGTCAATAATCGTATGCTTATTTCTTGGAGTGTATAGAGCAGTGCAAGTATATATCCTATAGCAGATTTTCTATAAAATCATATACGAAAATGAATAGTTTTACCTAATTACTTTTGTCGCGTCAAAATGTATGTCACTATACTGTCATACTTTTTAAGGTGTGTTTAAAATGGGAACTCTGGAAGGTCTCATCAGCTGATTTTGGCAGAGAACATTTGGTCGGAAAGTTCAGAGACTTCCGACTTTTACGACGACAGCTTGAGTCTATTTTAAATATCAAACTGAACTTAATATTATTTTTGGGACTGTTTTGATTTGCTCTGCACTCAATACTATTTTCCAGAGCCTTAGATGTACTTCATTAGGTGCAAATATGTCTGTAGGTGGAACTGTATGCTGAAATATGGCTATATCCGTAAACACCCCGTTCCGTGAACAATTGGACAATAAGCTCTGCTCGTTCACATTGGCGGATAACAGTGGTGCACCGAAGAAGGTTGGCTGGTCGGATTCCGGACGTGGCATTCGTTCTGGATGTCATCCAAGATGGCAAATGATAATCGTCCCGCTATGTTCATCTAATAGACCTCACCGGCACGGGAGACCATGAAGTTCTCCCGCCAACACCGAGCCAGCCTAAAGGTGCGTATAGTGAAAAACGGCAGACAAAATGACAGTTCGAACATCTGCTCAGAATGAGGATAAATAGATACCCTTCTATCTGCTCCTTAAGTAATTATGCTGGTGCAGTGGGCATTTCGGAGGGTACAAGACATCCCTGCTTCAGTTAGTAGCTTTGAGACGCGCTCAGCTGAGAATCACAGGCGTGATGAATTTCTGGGAAGATGTGCCTCGAATTTTAAGATGAACACGTTTCTAAACCGAAAATTTAATCGAATTTAGGAGGCTTTCATGGATACGTGTGAGCTAAGGAACGCCAGTTTCGGTTGCAACAGCAATCCAAAGAGTTGAAAATATGGAAATGGGGTCGGACGTTTTTGCCAACCATCTGTTTCTATTGTTTGAGCAGTGTAAAGAAGTTGTTTGGAAGTAAGGCAAAACTATAAGAACCGGAGGATCAGGTGCTTTCTTACAAGGCATAGTACTGTTTGTTAGAAATGTGGTCCTTATAAAAGTGGCGCGTGACAGCGAATCACAAATTTTACTAAAGTGATAACATAGGATTAATAGTTAATTAATTGATACACAAGATCACTTTGTAGAACCGGTTTGAGTAGCTGGTTGTTATTGCTGGAATTACCATTGCAATCAGCTTATTGTACTGTAAACTGTGAGCATCGAGCACTACATTTCTATAAAGAGAGAAATCAGCTTCTTTGCTCTTTTATTGGTATGGTTCTTTCGAATTTCGTTAGAACATTTTTAATCAATTATAGCCCAGTCCTTGAAAAAGATGTGTGCATCAGAGATTAGGATTTGTTTTACAAAAATTACGAATAAAGTCGTAGAGTTGTTGTCAAATAGTAGATATAATAATATGACAAAAGTGCTGATGGTGAAAATAACCATTAAATAAAAGAAATTAAGAAATCACATTTTAAAAATTTACAGGGGGTGAAATTTTCATTATACAAGAAAATGCAATAATTATTTATTATTTCGTCTCTCAATGAGGGATTAATTTGTTCTGGCGAATATAAGTACTTGACCTATTATCCTGTGGAATTTCCAAAAGGTTCAATATTTGAGTTTTTAATACTGTAGGCTCCTTATAGGCCTGAATGCGAAAATGTTAAACCCAAGTAACATATTTGTGGTAGAATCAACAACAAACAAGATTAATTAAAGAAGGGACATTAAACATGATATTTATATAAATAAATAGGTTTCTTTATTAACATCGATTGGTATGGGGTAAGTGCGATATTTATTAAAGTATTTCTGTCTTATTTGTGGGACAGAAGTGAACATTACTGTTTGCACTGTGCCCGAATGAGGCTAAGTCGTGAGTAAAAGAATCAACAAATATTAATTTTATAATCGAATACCATTAGTAAATAATATCAAAATAATTCAGGCTTCTGTCTTGTTTAGTAAAGGACTGAACTGCAGACGCTTTGGTCATCTCATTTGCTCAACATTTGGTCAACTCAATTTGAAATGGAATAAAAGTAGTTAGAGTCCAATTTTATTGAACAAGTGTAGTTCTTCTGCCCACGCGACGCATCAAAATGTATACTCTAGAGAGAGCAGTTAATTGAACAGTATGTGGTGAATAAGCTTTTATTTGATTTTACACAGATGAGCACATGTACTTAAATATTTTATTTTTCTAGAAATGCATTTATCACCCTCTGTGGGACAGAACATGGGACTTAGAAGGCTTATTTGTATAGACGTTAAAATCAGTCTTATTTCAGTATGAGTTTTTGAACGCGAAGCCCTTACTTGCAAACATATACTGCACTTCCTGCACGTTAAACCAAAGGAGAGTCTACGGAAACGTGGCTGGTTGCATATACATATGGGCAACGTACTTACTTAATTCCAATTCGTTATTAAAAATATAAACAACATAAAGTAGGTTTGCCATCTTTATATATTATACCTAGATTTTTCTAATTTTATGATTTCTTTCATCGGTAGCAGATGTACCTCCTAAAATTGAAAGCTATATTGTGGTTGCTTCAGGTATTTTAAATTGACACAACGCGTTACAAAGCGTCCTCTCCTTTCCGCTTCTTTCTTTAGTTTGAAGAAACTGCAACAAATGCAGTGAAACATGAACGTAGTGTTAAAGAATCTTTGTCACTACACTAGGCTATAATCGTATAAGCGTTAAAACGAACTTAATTTTTTTTGGTTTCAGCGGTTTTCGTAGACGTCAAGCCTTGGATAGCTGTTTCAAAAGGAAAATGGCTTAATGTCTACGGGTTTTTCTTTTTTACTAAGACGGCCATTCATTACCAACCTTTTGGATCATGTAGAATAGATGAGCAGTTGACTGTCTTTTTTTATTATATTTTTAGGCTTATTTGCATTGCAACTAGACAGCTGTAAAGCGCTTTTCCCTGCTAATGTTCCACTTAATATATTACTTAAATAAATTTGGCATTTTTTAAATATGCGTATGTTTAAATAAAGCCGACGTTATTGGTACATGAAACATTATTGACGACTTTATAACGGTATTTTTATTATTTCGAACCTTTGATTTTAACCAGGTGATACTGTTGTGCTGCGTGTGGTATTCGATTTCATCGACAAACAACGTGATCGGCAAGGTCGTTTTGACTAATATGCCATTTCCTCTGACAGTTACTATCGTTCACCTGGGCTCAATCGCGCTATATTCAGGGCCCGTATTAGCACTTAGCGGTGTTCGACCACAACTGGAGATGGACTGGTCGACTTGGTTCAAGTGCATATTGCCGTTGGTACTTGGGAAATTCTTCACATCCCTCACGTCTCATGTGAGTCTTTGGAAGGTGCCCGTTTCGTACGCTCATACAGGTTAGTTGAGAATATCAGATTCCAACTGTGAGCAATATGTAACAATTATAATGGCTTTTTGTTTATATATCATGATTTTCAATAGGTTATCCAGGAATACATTTTTTTTCACAGTTACGAAACTGTGTGTGGTCAAGTATTTAAGTTGCGTTAAGTATATGGACCATCTTATGAGTTCTTTATTTTGTTACCACTTTTCTGATAAAATATGGTATATATTTTTGTTCTTAACTGTTACTGGTGGTGATCTAGTTAAGGCAACGATGCCCCTCTTTACGGTGATCCTCTCAAGGATCATACTAGGACAAAAACAAACATTACCCGTGTATTTATCGCTTCTACCTATCATCTCCGGAGTGATTATTGCTACCGTGACCGAGATCTCATTTGACATGCTTGGTCTTATCGCTGCTCTCAGCTCGACGATTGTGTTCGCGCTTCAGAATATCTACACGAAGAAGGTATGCTCGTTACTATATTCTGATATTATTATAGACAAGTAAATACGTGTAGATTAATAATAATATGAATAAAACTTGTAAGCATTGTTAAGCTTTAAAGAATGTTTCAATTTACGGCAGTTATTGGTCCTTTGTCATTTGTATGTCATTTTGCAGGTGATGCGCGAAAGCGGAGTTCACCATTTGCGCCTTTTACACATTTTAGCGCGTTTCGCATTGTTAGCCTGTTTACCCATATGGTTAGCGTTTGACGCGCCTCGACTCGTCCGGAATCGAGAGCTCACTCGGCACACAGATTTCATCACAATAATTTTGCTTTTTGTTGACGGTCTCCTGAATTTTGCGCAGAACCTAGTTGCCTTCACGATGCTCAACATGTTGTCACCTCTTACCTACTCTGTCTGTAACGCGGCTAAACGTATCTGCATAATCAGTGAGCATTGAATTTACTTAAAATGTTGCTCATTTTTTGTGTCCATAAAGATGCACAGGTTTAGCTTCTGTGTATCCAGTATTATTTGGCAGTATCTTTAAAAGTAACGCAACAAAAGCATTAGTATAACGAATGTCAGAGTAATGCTTTTCATTTTTATTAATGGTTGCTATATTGTAACTATCCGTGTTGTATGACGGTGTCTGTCAACACAGGTTTTTCCCTGTTGATGCTACACAACCCGGTGACGGCGGCCAACGTGTTCGGCATGACCCTTGCGATTTTTGGGGTTCTACTATATAATAAGGCCAAGCAGGACGCTCAGCGAAGTAAAGACCTGCCAACTCATCACCAGATGGTCACCGGACCGGCAGGCTCCATTGTCAACCTGGATGGGTCTAAGGCCGGAGCAACTCTGCCTCAACCCATGAACGGTTTCGTCATATCAAAGCCGGCAAATAACATTCTGTTCGAACATGTGTTCTCTAATAACAACACACAGTACATACCGCTTGTACACAGCTGACACTAGACTTCAACAGAGGACCATGTTTTTTAGCGTTTGTCTTTTTGTTGTTGTAGAACTCCCTTAATCACCTGTATTATATTCGGCGAGCTACGCATGTTTGTATTCGCCAGTGTTATTGCTATAAAGGTAAGGTTCTTTATAAGGTTTATTTTGAAACTGTGCTGTACAAAGGTGCGCCAGAATAATGTGATTCGCGCATCGCGCGTATAATCAGTGATCGACTCCGTGATGGAGGTAAGTGAAAACACGAAACGACAACAATATCCGATGAGCTAGCAAGAGTTTTTCTGGTAATTTGCCTACTGAATATCCTATCTTTTTTCTTTGTTGTTCCTGGCATAAGGCACAACGAGCAGGCTACAACAGATTCGAATGACCATCGAGTTGTCACGAATAGCGAGAAAAACGACGGTCCTCCGTCGTAGTTTGAGGAAATTTGGGGTAGATAGGACGCGAAAGGATGTGTGAGTGTAATTAAAGGATGAATGTATCGATGAATAAGCGAGCGAGTGGGTGGAGATTGCATTTATAATAGTATTGGTTGTGTAATTTTTCTATCCTGAATTGTTTCGCATATCTTAAACTGGAGTGGTGTTTTCAGGCTCATATTGCTGGACACTGTTTCATTTGAGACAATAAACTGATTTTATTTAAAATACAGTAAATTTTCAATCAAAATCACACTACGACTTTTGATTTATCACGATCAAATTATAAGCATGATGAAGCCAGCTACGTTCCATTGAGAACTCGATACCTACTGCAGAAATAGCGTGGTTCTGTAACACAGCATAGCAATGTGAATACGAGTATCTCATATATATATATATATATATATATTTGTGGCTGGACGTATGTTGTTTGTTGATCTTGGAGAAGCACTTTTTTTACCGGGGTGCTACTACATTTCCAACGAAGTGCAAAAAAACGATTTATATTTATTCTTTTATATACGGTGTTATAATAGTGTAACGTAATGACAATATTATCTTATATAGATGGAGTGGTGCAATATAATGACGTTTACTCTTACCTATCGACTAGAAGGCCTACTGATTTTCTGATGCGGTTTTATGAGAATCAGGTAGTTACGTGCGTACAATGAATAGAGATGAAAACCAAAAACTGGGCTAAACAGACGAAAAGCGATTAGTGAAAACCGTAACTGCACTAAGGGAAACTAGCAGGAATGTGCGTATTTATAGTAATATATATATATATATATATATATATATATAAGAACGATGTTCATATAAACAACTCTAAGAGGAACAAACCATACGAATAACCACAACAGATGCGTGCGCACATGATTCATGCTGCTTAAATCTGGAGATTTACGCGATGTTTTTCAATGCATGACCCAGTGAACACATCAGCTAAATATAGGATAATACCACAGGTGTAAAGGAAGTTCTTAAATAGTGCATTGTTGTGAAGAAATAGCGACATAATCGAGCAAATGCCAATACTTGCGAGCTCTAGCAAAGTTATCGTGTGAATGTGCGCATTATGCGTGTGTTATTATACGAAGACGAATCGATGATGGCTGTTTATGGGTGCGATGAGGGAAACAATGTATTGGTGGAACATATTAAATCGGTTCGAGCTAACCTAAAGGAAGTAGGATTACCTCGAAAACGAGTAACTATTATTCTACTATTGTCAGTGAATCAACCCCAGTTCCAGAAGTCCCTCTAATACCTATGATCAAAGGAAATCTGTTTTTGCGGAGTTCTTGACATTCCAGATAAGGGATGAATAAGTACAACAACAACAACTATATAATTCTTATAGTAATGTCAAATTTGATTTGCTTGCATTCTTTAAATCGCTCTAGATAAGAAGGGATAGTGTTGCATTCTCTGAATTTTAAAACTAGTCGTAAACCTATTTTAATTTACTTGACTACATGCACGTGAGAAAAATATATTACTGGACAAAAACACGTTGGCTACTATTTTGTCCTTATTTTTTTCACAAATGTAGGAGGTCTAAATACGAGCATATGAAGAGCATACGACTATCCTAAAATACTTTACAGATGAAATTAGAACAAATATTTTTTTTTATGAGCGATATCTCGTTGAGCAGATTTTCTCAGTTTAGCGGTTCAATGAAGTTATTTCTATTACTGCTTCTAATTTTTATAGTAATGAAAACAGTTCGTATTTCAGTTATTAAGGTCCATACTACGCGGTGTATGATTTACGTGAATTTTTTTCGAAGGCCTACATCATTCCTGTAGCTGGGTAAAGCATATTTTTTCAAAGCTTCGCATACTCATTTAGTTGATTAAAATGTAAGAAATCACGATTTAAGTGAGTAGTAGCAAACGATTGCGCCGTGCAATGTATTACTCAACATACACTGTAGCTGGCTACGAAATTGTTGCATGGAGAGAGACTTATTAGGAAGCGAAAATCAAACCAAAAGAAGTAAAACGTAATGCAAGCGTCGTTTCGCATGTAAGGAAAATGATGAGCACTTTGTTCTTAGCAGGCGAGTAAATGCAAATCCTCGCAGTCATTAAAAGAGGGCAATGAGTAGTGTTCGCAGGTTCCTCTTTGTTACTAACAATTTTCCGAACAATCTCTATCTATGAAAGCCTCAATAATCCGTAGAACGTTACATAACCATACAGACAAACCACTGTTACGGTAACTATTTGCCTAACTGTGATAGTTTTTACACTAATGTCAATAAATGGCTATTTTTTTCTATCTTTTTAACACCCTGTCGCCCTCGTTGGATTATCACTAGTTACATGTGAGCTACAAGGATTCATTATAGCATCTCTAAACGTATTTTTAGGTACCTAATTTCAGCTTATTTAATTCCGTTTTCGCATAAAGTTAGTGCAGCTTACTTCGCGTTTTACGTGGCTTGCTGGCTCATATTGCATAACGCACATAGATATATTTAATTTTGCCAAGCAATTTTACGTTTGAAAAAACAATAGCAAAGAGTTTATTATTAAGGCGCGGTCAGGGGAGAAGCTGCTTTTGATATTAATTGATTCTCAGTAAGGTAATTGAGACGGATCCAGCGCTAACGTCACTTAAGTCGCTTTTTATCTTTTATATGCACGTAAGCAGATTTTTGTTCTAATAACAAAATTGGCACCGGCTAAAGTATCCATAATATCACATATGTTCATGTTAAAAGCTGAAGCGATAAGGAAAATTGAGGTGGGGATTTATAATTGGCTACCTTCTATATTATCCGTGGTTTTTGAAAAGTACCAATGACTAATATACCTAACTCTCAGGCATTAAATACCCAATTAACGCCGTGGGGCATTTTAAACGAAGCTTCACCGGGCATTGGTCTCTTGTAAATAACTGTTTCTCACTCATCAAATAGGAGACCCAGACCCATTAACTCCAGCTTTTAAGATTAGGTTAATTTTGTGATCATAAGTTTTATCAGTTCTTTGCTTAGTTGAAGGATATGAGGAACTGAAGGACCACAAAGTAGCTGCTTAACAAATCCACAGGTATTGTTTTTGATAAAGCAGAGGTAAGACCAGCTGCACTTTATAAAATAGAAAAAGCCAGCGCTCCCTCCATTCAGGACAACACAATAGCAAAAGTTTCGTTTTCTTTGTACCACAGCGCTGCCTGCCAGGAAGGCCTTTAGGAGGCTCAAAAACATCACAATTAGTTTTTCTTTATTTTTGTTATGTGCGGCCAGGAAAGACCCGGGAAGGTTCACACTATCTTAGGGGAAAGAAGAGACATAATTAAAATAAATTTGACTGCATTCTATCGTGTATAATTCTGCATCAAATTAAAATGATTGACTATTCATATTATAGCTGACGGAATGTATGGTCGTCCAAAAAAAGTTTTCGTCATCGCAAGTTAGAACCACCAAATGAGAACATAGCAGAAGTCGTCCTAGAATACCATCTCGAAGAAATACCGCCCAAAAGTTTTTTGGTCGAACGTATCAAACACAGTGCACATTGACAGTACCTCGTACAACAGCAATAAAATCAAAGATTTTTGGTCAAACAACTTTTAAGATCCATGGATTGGCGTCATTAGCCTTTCAGAACATTGTTATAGTGCAATAAAATACGCTATGATATCCATGTGTGCACGAAATGTTCATGGAATCATGGCAGATTAAAGGGTGTATCGATTATCAGGGCGCATCTTGTGCTCCATACTCCACACAGTGGATAAATTGATTATCATACTTAATAGTAATCACACATTCATAGCAAACGACCATTTGATTCCTAATTATTCCTGTATCTTACAATAATCAACTATTATGCTATTGCAAATATGACATTTAATAGAAGACGTTGAGAATTTGGTTGGCCGTTTATTCATGCATTTCAACAACTGTTTTGCAAACTTTATGTGAAAGACATTTATGACTTTGCAGTCCCTTGTCGCTGTGAGTATAAAGTCTGAATAAAAAGAAAGTGCGGGTAACTAAAGTACTTTTGCAGGTAAGTGGTAAACTAATGAATTTAAGAAACCTAGCCACTGGACTGAATACTTACCCGCGTAGTGGTAAGTGTATCAGTGCAGTGATGTGACTATTCAGTAGTATTATGTATCGTTCTAGTCGAGCAAATGAAGGAAATACCTTCACATATAGAGGAAGGGGCAATGTGACCCTCCCGAGAGTTATATGCAAATGTCGTTCCTGATTTTGTCGATGAAGTCATGGGGCAGAAGTACTCTCGTGCTTTCATTTCGTGTCATACGCCTAAAATTTTTTCCTAGCTACCCAGCTCTACGACCAGAATTACTGCTACTACTAGAACTCTAAGCGATTGCTATGTTCCTTGAGAGGTGGGCCTCACCTCATTCTAACCTGTTGTTACCAGAACTGAAGAGCTTGAGGTGGCAAAACTGTGTCTAATCTGTCTACGGCTTTCAGGATTACGGCGGGACACGATATGCTTACCCAACTACAACGCACGCTTACCGAAAGTAAGTCTTAAAATAGCAAAAAACAGCTGGTGCTACGAAACTCTGAAAAGTGTAGCTTACGATTTGGGGCGATGCGGAACATAGCGATCTTTTTCTTTTTCATGAGAACGTACAGAAATTCTGAGCAAAATATACATCTATGACGAAAGAGAACGAATGTAAAAACAGATCGATATAACCAAACGGCCAATATGTGTCTAAACATAGTAATTGCTAGTCCTTCGTGAACGATGATGTAGCATTGTGTCTCAAGTAAAATTAATTTTGCCTTTTTCCTGTGTGTATGTGTAGTAAAAGTATTTATTCGATCTAGTTTTTTTTTTTTTTACCAGAACCATATTCTGAAAGAATACCTTGAGGGTCCGACGTTGCGTGTCTATAAATTGTTAGCTGCAGTTGACTCGACGGACATTTGTGATTCTGAATGCTTTCTCAGGACATTTAGGAGAGCGCCCGCAAAGAAGGATGCCAAATACCAAAGTCAGGCATATTTTTTGGTTGGTATTATTGGAAGTTTTCCTCCAGACTTTAAAAAACATCAAATAAAAAAAGTATTTTTAAATAATGTATTCTAAATCAACATCTCCATACTTTTGAGTTGAATAGGAAGTATAAGATAGTGACCGATCATAAAAACGTAATTAAGACGCTGGTCTAGCTCTGTTTTCGTAGGACGTATAAATAACTACATCGTTTAA